CCCTGGGTTCAATCTCCATTACTGAAAAAAAAGAGCAAATAAAAGGAAAAAATATATGCGCATAATCAAAAGGGAGAATTTTGCCAGGCTTGGTGGTACACACCTATAATCTCTGCACTTGGGAGGCTGACGGAAGAGAATCACTAGGCATTCAAGACCAGCCTGGGCTACACAGTGAGTTCAAAGCCAGCCTGGACTGCACAACAAGACTCTTGTCTCAGAAACAAAAACAAACCAGAAAAAGGGCAGGCTTTTAGCTGAGGAACAAATAATTACCCAATGTAGAGAATCCCAAGCAGTTTCCTAAAGGACAGACTCAAACAGTAGCCCTAGAGTATTTTCCCTCCTTTCCCTCTGGTCAGAGAGGACCCCAAGAGTTGCTCTTGCTCCTTTGGCTTCTAGAGCTGGGGCGGCCTCGGTCACCGCACGAGTGCTCCAGTGTTCCCCTAACCTGCCCGTGGTTGAGGAGGATGGTGCAGGACTCCTGAAAGCTGGTTCCGTGGCAGGAACTGCTGTGCTGGAAGTCACTTCTGCAGAACTTTTTGGAGTCAACCAACCATAACTGGGGTCCAGGTGAGTCGAGGTGCTCACTGGAGAAAAAAAGAAAGGAGCCCGCCCAGTGGCGAACCCCTGTAATCCCAGCACTCAGGAGGCTGAGGCAGGAGGATTGCCACAGGCCAACCTGGGCTACATAGTGAGACCCTGATTGAAAAACAAACCAAGGAGACAGGGGAGGACTAGAAACTTCTACAGAGGCCAGAAATGAATCCCTAAGAGAGGCCAGTCTTACCCATTTTTTAAAAAGTCAAATTAAAGGGGCTGGGGATTTAGCTCAGTGGTGCCGCTGCCTGCCCCAAAAGTGCAAGGTCCCGAGTTCGATCTCTTGTACCAAAAAAAAAAAAAAAAAAAAGTCAAATTAAAATGGATTTTAGAACCCTTTATAATAGAAGAGATTAGCCTCACATTGATGCGAGTGTCTTCTGGGAATGTAGCTCAGAGCACTTTTGTGGCAGTACATGAGCCCTTGGGTTCAATCCCCAGGAGAGCCAAGGAAAAACAGCTACAAACTGAATGATATGAGTGTCTTCTGAGCAGCTCTGGCTGACGGGTTTGTGTGGGAGGAATGTAGAACCATTGCTGCCAAAATCTGGCTTTGATATAGATTTAAAGTTTTAGCATTAGAGACAGGCTTAGATTGCTTTTTTGGTCTTTTGACTAAGATCAAACATAGAAGAGCCCGGCCCTGAAAATATGAGGACCCAACATGGTGACACAGACCTGTAATCTCAGCACTTAGAGGCTGAGGCAGAAGGATCGCCATGAGTTTGAGGCCACCCTTAGCTACATAGTGAGTTCAACCCTAGCCTGAACTATTAAGTGAGACCCTGTCTAAATAAATAAATAAATAAATAAACAAAAGCTAGATTTTCTTCTTTAAAAACATGTTAGCCATTAAATGTCCACTGTCTTCTAGCTACTATCTTGGTCCTTTTATACAGATTAGCTCTTTTAAGTATCATGAAAATTAGGTAGGTGTTTGAATGATAAGACATCTGAGATTCAGAGTCACACAGGCTGTGTGGTGCTGACTGCAGCCTGCTCTCAGAAGCAGGCCTTGTCTCCATCTCCACAGGTGGCTCCAGTGACCTACCTGCTTGTGAGCAGCCACCCCAGACTGTACACAGCCCCAGGAAGGACACTGTCAGCCTTTCCTGTGGGCATGGCGCTCACTTTCATTGTCCAGTTTTACAGTAGCATCGGAGAGAAATTCCATACGCACAGCACGCAACTTTATCTTTCTCTGAACAGGTACGATTCGGAAGTGAAAGCATGAAAGCACTGTTTTTACTGGGTGTGGTGGCACACATCTGCAGTCTCAGCATTCTGGGAGGCTGAGGCAAGAGCATTACAAGTTTGACCCCAGCCTGGCCAACTTAGTGACTTAATGAGACTCTGTCTCAAAATAAAAAAGCACTAATGTAGCTCAGTGGACAGGCCTTAGGTTCAATCCCTAGTACTGCAAAAAAAAAAAAAGTTGTTGACACTGGAGTAGGAACCTTGCCTGTTAGACTACCAGCTCTAGTAACTTCTTTCACATTCAGACTTTGAATCTGATCTTTATTTCTCCTGTTAGGATTAAAAACAGGGCCAGGGATTTAGCTCCCTGGCACCACGCCTGCCTCGCAAGCACAAGGTCCTGAGTTCGATCCCTGGTACCAAAAAAAAACCAAAACAGGCTGGGGACATGGCTTAGTGGCAGAGGACTTGCCTAGTATGCATAAGGCCCTGGATTTGATCCTCAGTACCATAAAAAATAATATAAAAGATCAGGTTTAGTTAAAGAATGGTTTAATTGGGCTGGGGATTTAACTCAGTGGTTTCGCCACCTGCTACACAAGCACAAAGACCCGAGTCCCATCCCTGGTACCAAAAAAAAAAGAAGAAGAATGGCTTAATTATCAATAAAGAAAAATTTCAACCAGCCATGGTGCCAGATGCCTGTAATCTCAGCACTTGAGAAGCTGAGGCAGGAGGATCACTGTAAGTTCAAGGCCAACCTGGGCTACATAGTGAGTTCAAGACTGATCTGAACTACATGCATGGCAAGACCCTATCTCAAAAACAACAAAAGAAAATGAAATAAAGAAATAAAAAACAATTTCAGTAGATATTTAATCTATCAAGGCTTAATTCACAGAAAAGACCCAAAGAGAACTAAATAGAGTGGTGGGGGGGGTTGTTCTGTTTTGTTCTGCTTGTTTTTGGAAGATAGGATCTTGTTGTGCAGTTCAGCCTGGCCTCAACCCTCTTGTCTCAGCCTCTTGGGTGCTAGGATTGCAGGCGTGCACCACCATGCCAGCTGTAGAGTGTTATTAAAAAGCTTTATTGGAAGAAAAATTTTAAAGCCTTAATATTGAAAACTCATTAATGTTGTTCTCATCATAATTTAGGGGACTCAAGTGGAGGCTGAGGCAGGAGGATCACAACTTTATATATAGCCTGCTCTATAAAGCGAGTTCCAGGCCAGTCTAGACTGCAGAGTGAGACTCCGTCTCAAAATGAACAAAACAAACAAAAAAGAACAGAGGGAAGCCAGGCATGGTGGTGCTTGCCTGTAACCCCAGCACTCAGGAAGCTGAGGCAGGAGAATCTCTGTGAGTTCGAGGCCAGCCTGGGCTACATAGTGAGTTCAAGGCCAGGCTGAACTACATAGTGAAACCCCTCTCACAAAAAAATTTGGGGGGGGGCTGGGGATTTAGCTCAGTGGTTCCACTGCCTGCCTTGAAAGCTCAAGGTCCTGAGTTCGATCCCTGGTACAAAAAAAAAAACTGAGGGAGAAAAGGCTTTCTGGAAGCCAGGTATAAGTTGCATATCTGGAGGACTGCAAGGCTAGGCAAACTTAGGGAGACCCAGTCTCAAAATTAAAAATAAAGGCTAGAGGGCTGGGGATCTAGCTCAGTGGTTCCGCTGCCTCCCTCGCAAGTGCAAGGACCTGAGTTCAATCCCTGGTACCAAAAAAAAAAAAAAATTAAAAAGAGCTGGAAGCAGACATAATGGCACATACCTATAATTGCAGAATTCCGGGAGGCAGAGGCAGGAGGATCAAAAGTTCCAGCCCAGCCTAGGCAACATAGTGACCTAATGAGGGCCGGGGATTTAGCTCAGTGGTGCTGCTGCCTGCCTCGAAAGCACAAGGTCCCGAGTTCGATCTCGGGTACAAAAAAAGAACATAGTGACCTAATGAGACCCTGTCTCACAACAAAAAATAAAAAGGGCTGGATAAGTAGTTCAGTGCAGAGGCTCTGGGTTCAGTCCCCAGTAACAAACACACATACACACACACACACACACGCACACACACTGGAAAGAAGGAAAGAGAAGAAAAAGTTTACTGAGCAAATGTGCGTACGAAAATACTAGACTGATCCTGGGCTTGTAGTTGCTTTTTGTTTGGTACCAGGGATCGAGCTCGGGTCCTTGAGCTTGCGCAGCAGGCGATGAAACCACTGAGCTAAATTCCCGGCCAGGTTGCTTATTCTTGTTTGAAGAATTCCTTGGAGCTTTTAGGATGTTGAAAATACAACATTGTAATAGGGTCTCCCCCCAAACAGAACTGTGTCATATCTATTATCTCTTTTCAGAGATTTTTTTGTTGTTATTTTTTTTGTGGTACTGGGAATCAAACCCAAGGTCTTGTTGGTGCTAAGCCAAGCACTCTACCATGGAGCTTCGCCCCTAACCGTTCTTTTCAGAGATTTCTGCCTTTTCTGTCTACTTTCAGAAATGACCTGCTGCTTATTGGACCAGGAAGTAGGAATTATACCTACACAGCCCAGGCTGTGAGCAGAGGGCTAACACTCGTGGGGCTGTGGGACCAGCAGCACCCGTGCATGGCAGACTACATCCCTGTGGCCTTGGAGTATGCCATCGAGCCAGACACCACGCAGACCTCTGTGGGGGATGTCGTCTGCTTCAGCACGCATCTCGTCAGCGAGCATGGTCTGAATGCCTTCTCCTTCCTCACCTCACAGCTGAACGTTCTGAGGATTTGAAAGCAACTAATCCTCCAGAGGACTCCTCAAAGTTACCTAACATCTGGGGCCCCTTCTGAGGAAGAACACACTTTGGAGTGTTTGTGGTGTTACCTGATAACTCTCAGCCTGACTGGCCCTTTCTCTCAGTAGTCAACCAGTTGGATCCAGCCAGTCTACTGTGCAGGGCCTGCTGAACACAGCCTGTGTTGCAAGGCGCACATCATATTATGACCCTCATTGCCGGCTCTAAAGGACAGAAACTGCTAAACTGAAGGAAGGAAAGGGCAATAAAGCCTTGGTTACAGGAACCAAGTGTGTTGGGGCACATTTCAGGGCTAACTCCTAATATATCATCCCTATAGTAGGTCTGGCCTTCTACTGGGCTAAAGTGTATTCTTGATCAACAAAGCACTTCTGCTCTAAGACGTACTATTACGTTCAGGAAAAGCCACGGTGATTCAGTCCTTGGCTTGGAAACGTGAGCTCTGGCCTTGCAGCCAGTTTACCTTGCGGGGTGCATACCATATACCACCTTTGTCCCCCAAGCGCAGCTGGGTGGCCTGTGGCTTTGGGAATTATGGGTAAAGTCCTGAGATGTCATGCTGGGCCTGGTTTCACATTAGCTACCTGTTCTGGACGTGATAAAAAGATGCCTCTATTTGCCAAGATTGGATCCCTCAGTTCAATCACAATTGACTTGCAAGGGACCACTATTAAGGGTGCCAGAATCAGGAATCCTGCAATTACAATATGACCTGATCTTTGCCATCTTCAGAATCCCTCCTCTGCCATTTGTCACTTTCCTGCTGACAAGATTCTGTAGCTCAAAGCACAATCATCCTTTTAGCAAACCTAAAAGTTTAACGGAGAGGTGTCCTTGCACGTAAGAAGAGTTTTTCTTTTTCCTAAGGAGAACAGTTACACTGAGTAGCTCTTCTCATTCTGGAAGTCTAAGGCAGGTCTTTATTTTGCTGTCATAGTATATAAAGGGAGGGCCAGGGATTTAGCTCAGTGGTTTCACCACCTGCTGCGCAAGCACAAGGACACGAGTTAGATCCCCGGTACCAAAAAAAAAAAAAAAAGAAAAGAAAAAAGTATATAAAGGGAAACTGCCAGTCAGAAACCATTTACCCTCAAAGTCATGTGCTCTTCCTGGGAAGAGGTGTTCGCCTTAATGAAGACAGAATGGTCTTGAGTGCTCTGCTTATTTGGAGTTTAAATAAGGGTAGAGTGAGCACAGCATGGTGGCGCTCTCCTGTAATTCCAGCACTCGGGAGGCTGAGGCAGGAGGCTCACTGTGAGTTCAAGGCCAGCCTGGGCCACATAGTGAGACTCTGCCTCAACAAAAAATAAAAATAAGGGCAGAGTAAGTGACATGACAGTTACAACCAGGTACTTTCTTTTGTCTTTTCCCAGGTGAGCCTGGGATGTGGATGATTTCTGATGACAGTACTCTACAGACAGATGTTGTCACTGGAGTTGGCGTGGCCAGGAGTCCCGGAACTGCAATGATTTTTTACGACATCCCGGGAGTAGTGCGAACATATCGAGAGGTAACCCTGACTGCTCTGGCTGAGAGCCTGGGGTGGCTATTCTCCACACAGAAAACACTTCCTACAGAGACATGCCTCATAAGTATAAGGCAGATGGGAGCTTTATTAGAACATAAACAGTGTTTCCAGTTCTTCACCAAAAGCAGAACTATTCTGATTTCTGTTTTAGAGGTCACTGTGGTTACTAAGTCAGGCATACAGACCAGGGATTTAGCTCAGTGGTTCCGTGCCTGCCTTGAAAGTACAAGATCCTGAGTTTGATCCCTGGTACCAAAAAAACCCCAGATCATTGGGATCACTAGTTGATACTAGATAGTAGCAGCAAGGGCAGAAGCTGAAAGGAAATTTAGGAATCTACTGCAGTAATCTAAGTGAAATATGACGGTGCCCCAAGATGGAAACAGAGGAGGTAGTGAGAACTGGAACAGATTCTAGGTATATTTTATGGGTAGAGCTGATAGAATTTTCTGAAAGAATATGTATAGATTGTGAGAGAATCAAAAGTGATTCAAAGCCGGGTGTGGTGGCACATGTCTGTAATCCCAGCACATGGGGCTGAGGCAGGAAGGTCACAAGTTTGAGGCAGCTTGGGCTATGTAACAAGTTCCAGGCCAGCCTGAACTACATATTGAGATTGTCCCAAAAGAGAGAGAGAGGGGGGAGGGGGGCCTGGCATAGTGGTCCTGTAATCCCAGTACTCGGGAGCCCAAGGCAGGAGGATCGCCGTGAGTTTGAGGCCCGCCTGGGCTACATCAAGCCTTGCCTAGAATACATAGTGAGACCCTCTCTCAAGAAGCTGAAAAAAAAAAAAAAGCCAGTGAAGTCAAAGGCAAACTTGAAGAGATATTGGTACCCTAGGAGCAAAACGAAGACAGTATTGGAAGGAAGGCAAGAGTTAGTAACGGTGTCAAATAGCTGAGACCTGAGGTACAACCCTGGCTTTGCTACATGGAGAAAGTGAGTATGGATAGCTCTTCACTGAGTTAGGGTTAAGACTTTTTGTGTTTGTTTTGGTACCGGGGATCAAACTTGGGTCCTTGCACTTGCGCAGCAGGCGGCGAAACCACTGAGCTAAATCCCCAGGCCCAAGACATTTTGTTATATGATAGCTGTTACTTAACAGCAAAATTTCTTCCATTAGCAGCTGAGGCATTTTACAGGCTGAGAAATCTTGGACCAATGGATAATATTTCTGACTGTATTAACACGTTATTACTATAAAATACTATGTGAGGCCTGGAATTTAGCTCATGGCACTGCGCCTGCCTTGCAAGAACAAGGTCCTGAGTTTGATCCCCAGTACTGAAAAACCAAACAAAAAACAAAACAAATAAAATACTTTGTGAATCTCAAAACTCTGACATTCTACAGTCTGTAATAGTCATGCTGTTTTTATAGTGTTTTACTTCTGCCTTAAGATTTAGGTTTTGGTTTTTTTTTGGTACCAGGGATCTAACTCGGGACCTTGCGAGACGAACGGCGGAATCACTGAGCTGAATCCCTGGCCCCTAGGTTTTTATATGTATTTTGCCCTAAATTACATATTAATTTGATGGGAACTCTGCTTTTAAAATCATCACTTACTGGGTTCTAATAAATTAAAAATTAAACTTCAAAAGAAAGAATTTTTGTGCCCCATAGTGAGTGTGACCATTATGTACTACAAACATGTACTAACAAAGGAAAAAGAGTCTTTGTGGCGGTTAGCAGGGTTGTAGCTCCGTGGTGCAGTTCTTGCCTAGTGTGTGTGAGTGAGGCCCTGTGCTCAATCTCCAGTATCACCACAAGAAAAGAAAAGAATCTTTGTGGATTTGTTTTCCAAAGATGGTAGGTAGCTCATCATCAAATACACACTTGAAAGTGATAGGTATAGTGTCATGGTAGGCCAAAAAAATTCCTGTAATCATTTAGTTCCCATCAAATATTAAATATCATGGATAAAATCTTAACTATGTATTAGATAGGAGATTGTTCATACCTGTTGGACTTTTTTTGGGGGGGTGGGGTACGGGGATCGAACTCAGGACCTTGCACTTGTGAGGCAGGTGCCAGAACCACTGAGCTAAGGATAAAAGACACTTCTCAGATGAAGTAGAAACAGCAAATAAATATATGAAAAAATGTTCAACATCACTGGTCATTTGAGAAATGCAAATGAAAACAACACTGAGATTCCATCTTACTCCAGAAAGAATGGCTGCTATCAAGAAATCAACCAATAGGGCCAGGGATTTAGCTCAGTGATTCCGCTGCCTGCCTCCCAAGCACAAGGTCCTGAGTTCAATCCCCAGTACCAAGAAAACCCAAAACAATAACAAATGCTAGCGGGGCTGTAGGAAAAAAGGAAACTTCTCCATTGTTGCTGGTGCAGCCACTATGGAAATCAGTGTGGGGATTTCTCAAAAAACTAAAACTAGGGCTGGAGATGCAGCTCAGTGGTGCTGTGCCTGCTGGCAATCGCAAGATCCTGAGTTCAATTCCTGGTACCAAACAAATAAAAAACTAAAACTAGAGTTTCCATTTGACCCAGCTATTCCCCTTCTTGGTATCTTCCCAAAAGAATTAAAAGCATCATACCACAGTGACATATGCACACCCATGTTTATCGTGGCTCAGTTTGTAATAACTAAATCTTGGAAACAGACCAAATGCCCATCAACTGATGAGTGGATAAAGATGTGATTTTCTAAATATACAATGAAGTACTACTCTTCATAAAGAAGGATGAGCTTCAGACATTTCTAGCTAAGTGGATGGACCTTGAGACCATACTCCTAAGTGAAATAAATCACACACGTTTAAATACTGCATTGTTTCTCTAGTGTGAGAAACTGAAATAAGGACTAAAATGTATAATAGATATTGGGAAATGGGAAGAAAGTGTTCAAATGGGAAGGGGAACAAGGAAAGAGGGAGGCAGAAAGGAAGGAAGGGAAAAGAAAACAAATGAGAAAATGGAAGAAATGGAAACAAAGCTTTTGTGCATAGGGAGGGGAGAGAGCTTGAGGAGGGGAATGGGAAAAGGGGGGGGGGGTTATCATGTACAGGTATAAATTCCCTGCCATGAGTGTCATCACTATGTATGCCTAAAATGTACCAATAAATGCTTTGCTTTAAAAAATTTTTTAGGGTCGGGGATTTAGCTCAGTGGTTCCGCTGCCTGCCTCGAAAGCACAAGGTCTTGAGTTTAATCCCCGGTACCAAAAAAATAAAAAGTAAAACCTGGTTAAAAAAAAAAATTGATAGCAAACACTTGTGGTTGTGGATGTATCTTTTTATGCTAAATTTCAAGGAAACCCGCCCACAAGAACTTTTACATCCAGGTCCTGAGAGGGTGTCAGGACAGGGCACCCTATTGAAAACCTGCTGGAGTTCTCCGGAGGAGTCCAGGCGCGCAGGGCCTTTCGGGCTGATCTTTGCATGTGTCCGGGATCTTGTAATAAACAGGTCACGCCCACTTCCCCAGCCAGCTTTGCCCTGCCTTGCTCTCCTAGCTCAGTAGGAAGGTAGGGATGAACAAAAACTCCTTTCTAGAGGAAACATTTTCTCAGGCTGAGCCAGGAGGATCACTGCCAGTTCAAGGCCAGCCTCAGCTACGTAGTGCGCTACATAGTGAGTTCAAGACCAGCCTGTACTACCTAGTGAGACCCTGTCTTGAAACAAAAGAAAACAAAAATTCTTCTCAAAGGCAAACAGGTTTTGAGGTGCTCGGGTATGTGATTGCGAAAAGGTCAGGTTAGGGCCGGGGATGTAGCTCAGTGGCACCACACCTACCTCACAAGCGACAGGTCCTGAGTTCAATCCTTGGTACCAAAATAAAAAGGTCAGGTTGTATTTGTGAGAAAGATCGCTCTTGGTTAAATAAGTTACCAGGGGTGGAAAGGGCGGGAACCGGGGGTCTCCGAGGACATAGAGACAGTTTTCCTTTGGTTTGTCGACAGGTGACAGTCAAGGCATCATCAAGATTGACATTCACCTATGACCTGAAGAATTCTCTCACCAACAGCCCCCATGCAGCTGCATTCAAACTCTTCATCACTACGGGCAGGAGTGGTGTCAATCTGAAAGGCAAGGATTCACTGTAGGCCCCGTCTTCCCTGAACTCATCTCCATGTCAGATTAGTAATATAGGCTTCCTTTTATTTTTCTTGGGACAGTCTTGGTCTGTTCTCCAGCTGGCCTTGAGCTGCCTCAGCCTCTGAGTAGTTGGAACTGCAGGTGTACACCACTACGCATGGCTTTTATTCCAGAACTGACTCCATCGTGACAAATAAGTCATGGAGATCTGTGAGGCTTTGTGTGTGTCTGTGTGGGTTGCGGAGGCTGGAATACAGGGCCTTGCACATGCTAGACAAACACTACCTCTGAGCTCCATTCCCAGGCTGGATTAAGTATTTTTGTTGCTTTTGGTTTTTGCTGGTCATAGGGATTGAATCCAGAGCCTAATGAGTTACAGCCTCAACTCTTTTTTTTGGTACCTGGGATCCAACTCGGGACCTTGTGCTTGCAAGGCAGACAGCAGAACCACTGAGATAAATCCCTGGCCCTGAACTTTTTAGTTTCTTCTTTGAGACAGGATCTTGATAAACTGCTGAATTGGCCAAGCTGGGCTCAGATTTGCAGTCCTTCTGCCTCAGCTTCCCAGAGTGCTGAGATTACGGGTGTACACCACCACACCCAGCTTGCGTTATTTTTCTGTACAAAATGCACCATATAATGGTCTCTGCTTTCACAAATTCCTACTAACAGTTATTGACCTCTTTTCTGTTTCATAGGCTCTTGTACCCCAAATCAGGCCCTGGCCATCACAAAAGCCCTTTCTCCAGAGACCCTCGTGCTGTGCCATGTACAGTTCAGTAATACTCTGCTAAACATTCTGGCAAGTAAAGTCTTCCATGTCCATTCAGACTTCAGCGTGGAGAAAGGTAGGGTCCACCAGTTGAATATGATTTCCCCTTCTAGTTTCCTATCTGTACAATTGTCACTTTCTTTGTTGTTACCGGGGATCGAACTCGGGACCTTGCGCTTGGGAGGCAGGCGCTGGAACCACTGAGCTAAATCCTCGGCCCAATTGTCATTTTCTTATTGTATTTGTGCTTCCAGTTTTATCTGATAAATAACCATGGAATTTTCCTCAGTCCACATCTTGGTTCAATCCATTTGCCTTAACACATGCCTCCTGAAAACCTGTGTTTTTCTATTATAATTTGCTGTTTTTTTTCTGTTAGTCCCCATTTTCTCAGTGTTGGGTCTGGATTGTGGCTTGTTCATCTTTTATTCATTCGTTTTTGTGGTTCTGGGGACTGTACCCAGGGCCTCATGAATGCTAGGTGAGGACTCTTACCAGAGCCACACCCCAGCCCTCTTTTTTTTTTTGGTACTGGAGATCGCACTCAGGTCCTTGCGCTTTGCATAGCAGGTGCTGAAACCACTGAGCTAAATCCCCAGCCCAAGCCCTCTTTTTTTTGAGACAGGGTCTTGCTATGTAGCCTAGGCTGGCCTTAAATTGGGAGTGATCTTCCTGCCTCAGCCTCCATGATGCTGAGATTATAGGTATGCGCCACCACTCCTGGCCTTTTTAAAATTTTTGAGATAGGGTCTCACTGAGTTGTCCAGACTGCATTCTGAATTGGGATGCTCCTGTCTCAGCCTGCAGTGCTGGAATTACAAGCATGTGCCACCATCCTGGCAGAATGTTTGTTTTTGAACCAAAGAACATTCCAAGCAAAATATTATCGTTATGGTAGGGAACAGGGAAAGGGGATGTTACTAGAACCTCTGCAGTAAGTCCTAGTCTCCTTCGAGCCACAGCAGCACAAGGTGAATTAATTAGACAGGAAAGGTAGAAAAAACGAGACTTGAAGAAGCTGAGCTCTGGGCCTGACCAGTGCTGCTCTGAGCGGCAAAGACAAGCTTGCCACACCTTGATTTGTTACGACTCAGAGGGCAGCAGCAGTGCTGATCCTAGAACAGTGAGGAACTGTCCAGATGAAGACTGGTTCCTCCCAGGATGTCTCCAGCTGGTGTAGTCCTGCCCTGGAGCATCACAGCAAAACCCGGTCATTGAGGTCTTAGCTGTAACTGTCTCCATGCCATAGCAAATGATTTTTCACCGCTTCTCGGCCTTTTGGCTAAGATCAAGTGCAAATGACTTTTCCCCAGAATTATGTAGAATTGCTCTCAACACATAACAAATGGGAAGCAGAAAGAGCATTAAGATATAAAGTGATACGGCTGGGGATGTAGCTCCGTGGCACCATGCCTGCCTGGCAAACACAAGGTCCTGAGTTCAATCCCCAGTGCCCCCCCCCCAGATATGAAGTGAGAGGATTTATGCCAGATGTAAAGCACAAACAGGGTAGTACTGCTACATCATGGAAGACCCTCTAACTTCTAGGGCAGGCAATCTGAATGGTACAGAAAATGAGCAACCATTGAAGGAAGGTTCAGTCGAATTGTTGAGCACCAAATATAACACCTGGAACTTGAGATAGAGTAAAGTGTGGCCCGTTGTGGTATACCACATGATTGAAATCCCAGCACTTGGGAAGCTGAGGCAGGAGGACTGCGAGTTTGAAGCCAGGCTAATCTATACAGTGAGTTCACAGCTAACCTGGACTGTGTAGTAAGACCCTGTCTAAAAAAAAGTAAAGCTTGGGCTAGGGATGTGGCTCAGCAGTGCAGTGCTTTCCTAGCATGCACATAGGCCCTGGATTCACCCCCAAGACCACCACCACCACCACCACCACCACTACCAAAAAAAAAAAGTAAAGCTTTTATCTCTTTAAAATGCACAGGGTGGTTAGTTATGCTAGATTAAGATTTCATTTGGGAAACAACCTTTTTTTCCGGCCCCCAGTCATTACTTTTAAAGGTTGTTTTGGGCTGGGGATCTAGCTCAGTGGTTCTGCCGCCTGCCTGCCTCGCAAGCGGAAGGACCAGAGTTCGATCCCCAGCAGCAAAAAAAAAAAAAAAGTAATGACTAGCAAGCATGGTGGCACATACCTGTAATCCCAGGACTCCAGAGGCTGAGGCAGGAGGATCACAAGTTCGAGGCCACCCTGGGCTACATGGTGAGTTCAAAACCAGCCTGAACTATGTGGTGAGACCTTGTCTCAAAAAAAAAAAAAGTAATTGACTGGGAAGCCAGGCACGGTAGCATGCACCTGCAATTCCAGTTGCTCAGGAGGCAGAGGCAGGAGTATGTGAGTTCAAGGCCAACCTGGGGAACCAGTCTGGACAACTCTGCAACACCAAGAATCCAAATTAAAAGGGCTGAGGATGTAGTTCGTGGTAGAGTGCCCCTGTGTTCCATCCTCAGTAACACAAAGAATGAAGTAGATTAAGGGCTGAGGAGGTAGCTTAGTGGGAGCACACATCCAACATGATGAGTGAAGTCCTGAGTTTGATCTCAGCTCTGCAAAAACAAGGCAGCCTGATAGAGATGGTTCAGTCATGCTCAGCATGTCCCCTCTGTGTGCTGTCCTCCATCGCCAACCTGGCGGGCTGAGGGAACAGCAGTGTGGTACTGCAGGCAGTGCCAGCCGATGTTGTGCGGACACTCAGGACTCACACCAGGCTCACTCCCTCCTGCTGAACACACATGTCACCATTTTTCCTTCCTGCCCCAATTCAGTTTGCTCCATGGAGCCTCTGGGCCAGCCCACTGCTTCTCTTTTCAGGGGTTTACGTCTGCCCAATCAAGGTCAGACCGCAGTCAGAGGAGCTGCGCCAAGCCCTCAGTGTGGCTGACACCTCGGTCTATGGCCAGGCCTCACTGCACAGTGATGGCACCCAGTCGGGGATTTGGAGTGCGCCCCTTCCCTTCACCCCTGCCTTCTACATCAACCAGTCGGAGCTGCTGCTCAGCCACAGACAGGCCGCCGGGGCGCTCCGAGTCCAGGGTGTGGACAGGGTTCTCCACAACTTACAGGTAGGTCACTGCCAACCAAACCTGGGCAGGAGGCTGGAGACTGGAAAACATTTTCATTCTCAGTCCCAGGGTTAAGAAATGTCCTGGGTGACCCAATAAAGCTCAGCATAGGAAATGGTTAAATGATAAAAACTTGTCCCCTTCACAGTGCCAGGCAGAATTAAGTCTAGGTCATGAGTATGTCAGTCTCTTTAAAATAACCTTTAGAATTTTTCTGGTCAGTACGTTTCATGATCACACTTACCGTAGGGAGTTGTGCATGTACACAGCACACCTTTTTTGTCCCCTCCCTGCTCCTTCCAACCCTTGATCCCCCTCCATTAGAAAGTTTTTAATCAGGACCGGGGATTTAGCTCAGTGGTTCTGTCGCCTGCCTTGTAAGCACAAGGACCCAAGTTTGATCCCTGGTACCAAAAAAAAAGTTTTTAATCTTTCTCCTCCCTCCATCTTGTGTTCCCCTTCTCATTTGAAAAAAATCTCCCTATTATCTTTATTTTACTCTACATTGTGGGTTTTGTGTACCAGGGATTGAACTCAGGATCTTCCACTTGCAAGGCAGGTGGTGCCACCACTGAGCTAAATCCCTAGCCCTGAGTTTCCTTCACTTGATCTTAGCCAAAAGGCAGAGAAACGATTCTTGGGTTTCTTTTCTTGAGACAGGGTCTCGGTGTGTAGGCCAGGCTGGCTTCAAACTTGCAGCAATCTTGCCTCAGGCCCCCAAGTATTGGGACTATGGGTGTGCACCACCACTCCCAGCTAAGGGCTCCTCACCCCAGTCTCTTCAGCATCTATTATTTGATTTCTTGATGATGGGGATTCTTTCTGGAATAAGATGGTATCTCAAGGTTGTTTTAATATGGAGCTGATTTTTTCAGGTATTCATTGGCCATTTGTACTACTTACTCTGTTGCAACTCTGATCAGTTCTAATGAACCCTTTTTTTCTTTTTCTTGCAAAGGAGGGATGGAACTCAGGACCTTGGGTGAGGGAGGCAGGCACAGTGCCACTGAGCTACATCCCTAGCTGTACTACTTATTCTGAGAAGTGTGTATTTGCTTTGCCTGCCCATGAAGTCTATTTTTCTTCTTGGTTTTTTGAGACAGGGTCTTGCTATGTAGTTCAGACTGGCCTTGAACTCAACTGTGTAGCCCAGGCTGGCCTCCAACTAGCAACAGTCCTCCTGCCTCAGCCTCCTGAGTGCTGGGTTACAGGCACACACCACACCTGGCTCATGAAGTCTGTTTAGTCTCACAGCTCATTTTCTCCTGATCCTTCAACACATCTGAAGTGGAAGTCAGTGACTGAAATGTCCATTGGCCATCTAAAGTCCAGCTCTGGACAGTCCTGGAGACTGCACACACTGCTCAGGGTTCTCTCTCCCCTGCAGGTCTCCCCCAGCTCCCTGGTCCTGGTGGTCTCTTGAGCACTGGCACTCCCCCGGCCTGGCCACGTACCCGGTCCTGGTGGCCAACTTTACTGCCCTCCAGCAGATGGCCTTCCCCGTGTTCATCAACATCTCCTGCTCGCTCACAAGCCAACAAGAGGCTGTGGTGGTGAGAGCTGAGAGAGAATTCCCATGCAGGTGAGCCCTGGGACGGGGAAGGGAGGCGGAGTATTCTACAGAATTCTGTTAATGGGAAACACTCAGCCACTTGACCAAGACTGCTCGAAGTAGCCAGGTAGGGGGTGTCTCTTATCTTGCATATCTACCCCAAGCAGAACCCTTAGGTAGCTTTATCAGTCTAAATTTTATACTGTTAAATAAAGTCAGTTTAGTCAGGTGTGGTGGCACACATCTGTAAACCTAGCACTCAAGAGGCTGAGGCAGGAAGATTGCCACAAATTTGAGGCCAGCCTGGGATGTACAGAGTTCCAGGTCAGCCTGAACTATAGTGAGACCTTGTCTCAAAAAACTAAAAACAAGGGGTGGGGATTTAGCTCAGTGGTTCTACCACCTGCCTCGCAAGTGCAAGGTCCCGAGTTTGATCCCCGGTACCAAAAAAACCCCAAAAAACTAAAAACAAAATCATAAAAGAAAAACCTTAACGCGAGTTTGTCAGCTTTGTAAGTACACTATTTTCCCTATGCTCAATCTCTATAAACACATTTTGTTTTCTTCAGAAGTATTTATCAGGCAGGCATAGTGGTGCTCCCAACCTGTTATCCCAGTGTAGAAGTATTTACTTTGCTTATGCAGATACAATTGTGTTTTTTTGAGACAGGGTCTCACTTTGTAATTCAGACTCAGGCCAAGGATTTAGCTCAGTGGCACCACGTCTGCCTCAAAAGCTCAAGGCCCCAAGTTCGATCCCCAGTACCAAAAAAAGAAAAGCACTTCAGGCTCTGGTTGAGGGCATGTGGCCACCCTTCATTATTTCCAGTAAAAACTCTAACCTCTTCCTTGGTCTGTGGCTTGATTTTTGAGACAGGGTCTTCCTGTGTATTTCAGGCCACTCTTGAACTCCCATTAGTCGTCCTGCCTTGACTTCCCAAGTGCTGGGATCACAGGCATGCACAATGCACGGCTTGTGACTGCATTCTTTGATTTTTTTCTGGTACCAGGGATCAAACTCAGGACCTTGCACTTGCCAGGCAGGCGCAGTCCTGCTGAGCAACATCCCCGGCCCTCATTCTTTGACATTTGCAGAACTGTGAGCTCAGCACTGTGGACTCTATGTCACAACACTTGAGTTAGCCTTCCTAGTCCAATTGCCTAGATTAGAGGTCCTCTTTGGGCCAGGGATTTAGCTCAGTGGTGCAGCCTGCCTCACAAATTCAAGGTCCCTAGTTCAATCCTCGGTACCAAAAAAAAAGCTCCTCTTTAACTTATTACCAAGAAGCAATCTCTGATGCACAAAACTGAGAACCACTCACATGGAAGTCACTCATCGAGATAAAATGCTACTTTTGCTGCAGTTCATGGCTAGAGATGATCCAAGTAATACATCATTACTGTCTCCACCTGCATTCTCCCATCTTCTGCTTTTTGGGTACTGGGGATCGAACTCAGGACCTTGTTCATGAGAGGCAAGCACAGTGCCACTGAGCTAAATCCCCGGCCTTCCCATCTCTTAATGAAATGTTGAGACACTTAAGTGAGTTAAATAAATTGTTTGCACTAGTGTTAACGTGTAGGTTGTGAGATTAGGACTGTCCTTCACTATCTGTGAGGATTGGTTGCGGGATATCCAAAAGCTAGCTAGTTACTCAAGTACCTGATATAAAATGGCAAGCATTTTCCTTTTTATCCACCTATAGCCTCTCATATATTTTAAATCACCTCTACATCATTTATAACACCAAATATGAATTCTATGTTACTAATTATACTGTATGTCATTCAGGAAATGGCAAGGCAACAAGTCTACCCATTAAGTACATTATTGTTGTTTCTTTTTTTTTGGCACCGGGTATCAAACTCAGGACCTTCTACTTTCAAGGCAGGCAGTGGCACCATGAGCTAAATAAATCCCGGGGCCCTATTGTTGAGTTTTTAATCCTAAATTGGTTAAATCCTTAGAGAGCAAGAGGTATTACTTTTCATACTAATACTTAAAATCTCAACTTAGAACTCACTCATTAAGGCCTTCTTCCTGTATCACATAAGCCTTTCTGTGACATTCTTTTGATTTCTAGCATACAGTGCCTTCCTGAACAAGATACAAACCGTTCCAGTTGTTTATGTACCAACTGTAAGAACACCACAGCCAGGTAAAGAACCACTGACCCACTGAGCTCAGTCAGTCATATTTAACTGAACCCTTCAGACATCTCCCTTTCCTTTCAGGGCTTTGTACCTACACAAATTCTTCCTCTCCCTTCATGAGCACACAAGCCCCAGCCCTCCAGAGCCAGCTTCCACGTTGGCTATGGAGTGCAAGGCACTGACCTACCCTTGGATGAGTTCCCTGCAACTGTCGGAAAGATTTCCAGCCCAGCCACATTCTCTACACTAAGCCTCTGAAAACAAGCTCCTGAAAAGTATAATCAAAGGATTTTAAGCTGTTTTAATAAAACTGCTGTTGGACTGTGTTGTAAATATTGTCAGCTCTTGACACTAAGAAAACATTAACACTTACTTGCCCCGCACGACTATTCCACTCTTCTGGCTGCCCCTGAATAATGGAGGCATGAGCTTCCTAGCAGTTACACAAGACAATAAAACGGGACATATCCAAAATCTGTTTATTGGGATGGCTTCCCATTCATCTCCTCAGTACTGTTAGTGCTGCTTCCTCCTGAAGGAGCATCCTGGAAGAAAAAGAAGAGAATGTTACCTGATACCTACCCACTGGCCCACCCTGGAAGCTGGCCTGCCCTGTGAACACCCAGAGCTGCTCCAGTCAGTCACTGCATGTCAGCTTCCTTCTGCCTGTGGCACCCGTTACCAGAACCCATCAGTGCCTGCCTCAGATGCAGCGCTTTGAGATTTACGTATGGCTTCTAGTAATGCTTTACTTAGTCATGGAACCCAAGCCCTTACAAAGCAGTCTCAAAGTTTGTTTACTTTAGGACACTTTTATTTAAAAAACAGATTACACACCATCTCAAAACTTTTTTTTCAAAATTCACAATATATTCTCTGGATAACAGGTTAATAACTATCAGGAAGCAGTCTTGTTCTTCTTATACAATGACGAATTTAAGAGTTGAGGGATTTTGTTTTATCCCACAGGGTCTTGCTATGCATACAGTTCAGGGTGGCCCGACACAATCCTGCCTCAGTCCTGGGGTTACAGGCATGCACCACCATGCCTGTAAGACCTTTCCTGTGTCTCCCTAAGACACAAAGGTGAAGCCCAAACCCGAGTTCGTCCTCCCCTTACCTTCTGTGAGCCTTGCTTTTCCTCCCGTAGGCTGGCAGAGGACAGTGGAGCAGCCGACACACAGAACTACTGTCTGTGCATGGCTGAAGACCGTGGTGATTTTATAGCATCCTGGGGGGAAAAGTAACGGGTCAGTCGCCCATCGTGACACGCCTATGCTCCCCGAACTCCGGGAGGCTGAGGCGGGGAGGTGAAGTTCGACTCCCACCTGGGCAACTGACAGAACCCAACGTAAGTAAGCTTTCTAGTCTACATATACAAGTTTCAGGGGAAACCCTAGATTCCCTCCTCCTGTGGAGCATTTCACCGGTCTCCCATGGGAATTTCAGCAACGCCCGCAGAACCGTCCCCTGCGGACTGCGGCAGGGGCGCAGGCCTCCCACCTGGGCACTTCACGTCCATGAAGTAGGAATTGGGGCTCTGCACCAGGCGCTTCTTCTTGTGCTTCCTCTTCTCCTCCTCTGGAGAGGGATGCAGGAGATCTTTTGCGAGCTAAGAGGAACCAAAAGGGAGAGACTGAGAGAAGCCGGCGGCCAGGGCCCGCTGAGCCGCCCGCCAGCCGCCATCTTAGCTCCGCTCGGTCCGCGGCCGCCGCTGCGCTCCCGGAGTTAAGGTCCTAGGGCGCACGGAGAGTACATGAGGACCTCGGAGAGCAGCGGAAGGCTGCATGCTGACACAAGAGCGAGAGCTCCGAGTGACCCGGAGCAAGAGACTCACAGGCATATTCTCGTACGGAGGTCGTCACCGCCGGAAAGGAGCGAAAGCAGCAATCCTGCGCCTTATATGCGGCGCCCTTCCGGAAATGACGCGCAAATGTTATGCCGCCATGTTGGAAAGGTCCCGCTCCTGGCGGCCTGCGGTGGAGAGTCTGCGACTGCCATTTTCAGAAGGTCTCTTAACCCTGTCACGTGACTTGAGTTCCTCCTTTATTCACCGTCAAGAGATGGATAAATATTTTTACCTTTCCTGCTTTCCGGGCACGGTGACACTCGCCTGTAATCCTGTAATCCCCACTCAGGAGACAGAGGCAAGAGGATCGCAGCAAGTTCAAGGACACCTTGGGCTACAATGGTTTGAGGCCAGCCTGGGCTACATAGCAAGAGAGACCAATTCAAAACAACAGAAGGAGCCCGCCTGGTGGCGCATTCGGTTAATCCCAGTCCAGCACTCGGGAGGCTGTGTGGCAGGATTGTAAATTGCAGCCCAGCCTAGACAATTTAGTAATTTAACAAGACCCTGTGTCGATTTTCTTGTTTGTTTCCCCCACAGTGTGGGGGAAAAAATTTTTCCAGTTGTTCCTCAGACAAAGGACTACTATCTATAATATAAAAAGAACAAAAACAATCAGACTCCCCCTAAATTTAAAGACCAAAAAAATGGGCGTCTGAAATGAAAAGACACTTCTCAGATGGAGAAGAAACAACAAATAAATATATGAAAAAATGTTCAACATCAGTGGTCATTCGAGAGATGCAAATTAAAACAGTGAGATTCTACCTCCAGAAAGAATGGCTCCTCTCAAGAAATCAACCAGGGGGGCCGAGGATTTAGCTTAATAGTTCCACTGCCCGCCTCGGAAGTGCAAGGTCTCACGTTCGATCCCCGATACCAAAAGAAAAAAGAAAAGAAATCAACCAGGGCCCGGGGATTTAGCTCAGTGGTTCCACCACCTGCCTCCCAAGCACAAGGTCCCGAGTTCAATTTCCAGTACTAAACAAAAGAAAAAATTCAACCAATAACAAATGCTGGCGGAATTGTGGGGGAAAAGGAACCCTTCTCCACTGTTGGTGGGAGTGTAGACTGGAGCAACCACTGTGGAAATCAGTGTGGAGATTCCTCTAAAAATTAAAACTGGAGCCAGTGATTTAGCTCAGTGGTTTCGCCACTCACTGCGCAAGTGCAAGGACCCGAGTTCGATCCCCGGCACAAAAAAAAAACAACTAAAACTGGAGATTCTACTCAACCCAGCTATTCCCCTTCTGGGTATCTTCCCAAAAGAATTAAAAGCATCATACCACAGCAATATATGCACACCCATGTTTATAGTGGTTCAGTTTGTAATAACTATATCTTGGAAACAGCCCAAATGCCCATCAATGGACAAATGGATAAGAAAGATGTGCTTTTTTTATACAGTGGAGTACTACTATGCCATAAAGAAGGTTAAGCCTGGGCTGGGGATTTAGCTCAGTGGTTCCACTGCCTGACTCCCAAGTGCAAGGTCCTGAGTTCGATCCCCAGTACCAAAAAAAAAAAGTTCAATCCCAGCCTATACAACTTAGTGACTTAGCAAAACCCTGTCTCAAGAAGGATAAGCCTGAGACATTTATAGCTAAATGGATGGACCTTGAGACTACACTCTTAAGTGAAATAAATCAGACACCAGTGTTTAAATACCACATTGTTTCTCTGGTGTGATAAACCAAAAGTGGAAATAAGGACTAAAATGTACATATTGGGAAATGGGAAGAAAATGTTCAAATGAAGGGCTGGGGATTTAGCTCAGTGGTTTTGCTCCCTGCCTCAAAAGCGCCAGGTCCTGAGTTCAATCCCCGGTACCAAAAAAAAGAAAAAAGAAAATGTTCAAAAGAAAAGGGGAAGATGGGAGGGGGGAGGAGGGAAAGAAGGGACAAGAAAAAAAGAGAAGGAAAAGGTGGAAACAAAGCTTTTGTATACAAGGAAGGGAAGAGGGGTTGAAGGGATGAGAGGGAATGGGAAAAAAAGAAAAGCAAGATATATCATGTACAGGTACAAATTCCCTATGATGAGTGTTATCATTATCTATATCTAAAATGTACCAATAAATATTTTGCTTCAAAAAAAAGAGGCCAGAGATTTAACTCAGTGGCACCGCGCCTGCCTCGAAAACACAAGGTCCTCAGTTTGATCCCCGATACAAAAAATAAAATGATTGACCTGAAAAACTTTTTTGTCTCAAAATTTTGAAGAAGTTTAAAGGGGAGTGGGATTTCACTCAGTACAAAGACCCTGGGTTCAATCCTCGGTAGAAGAAGCACAGTGTAAGTTTGATAAGAGGACGGTAGAGGTACAGGCCCTCAGCGCAGTCCCTGCAGATAGAGCAGATGCTCCAGAAAGACTGAAGATCACCGCGTCCTCCTCTTCGTGGTGGCCGAGGGCGCCCGCGCATCTTCGCCCAAGGAGGAAGGAACTGGTTCCAGGGCGCTGAGGCCCGGCTAATTCTGAAGAAAGAGGGGGGCGAGGCGGTGAGTCCTAGTCCAGCGGGGAGCATGCGCGAGGAGTCGGGCTGCCTACCCTGGAGCGAGGCCCTGGAGCGAAGCCCTGGTCTGGCCGGCAGACTGACCACTTCCGCGATATGGCTGCCTTCAGACCACCCAGCCCCACCGAGGAGGTGGTGGCACCACCGAGCACGGTCAGGACAGGTACGAGTTAGCCTCGGAGTCATGAGAACCGGCTCCTGCACACTACTGATGGGTCAGGAGAAACCGAGGAAGCGACCAACTGGTAAGCTGCCATCTGAAAGACAAGAGCCAACCCTGGACGGACCTGCAGGGAGAAAGAGCATTCTAGTCTGAGTGGAAACCCAAGGCCAGAAGAACCAGCATAATTGGGGTAAAAGGCACTGTTGTTGTTGTTAGTGTTTGTTTTTGTTTGTTTGGTTGTTAAGACAGCATCTCCCAATGCAGTCCAGGCTGGCCTTGAACTCACTGTGTAGCCTAGGCTGGCCTCAAATTCGTGGTGATCATCCTGCTTCAGTCTTCCAAGTCCTGGAATTTACAGTGTGCGCCACTGCACCTGGCTCCTGGGGTGAAAGGCACTGTTGCCCCAGCACTGGGAGCCAAGGGGAGAGTACAATGAGGCTGCACGTACACTAGTACACTAGCTACAGCGCCAGATATGAGCAAGAACACGCTGCTGGGCTTGAAAGTCCCGACCTAGGGGTCCAAAGTGGCCAGGTGGTGGAGTGCATGTGGGGCACATCAGGCCCTTGGGAAGACACACGCCCCCAGCACCAGGCACACACCTAGAGATCAAGTCCAGATCTAGGCAAAATAAGATGGAAAGAACTAGAGCCGAGTGTGGTGGTGCACGCCTATAATCCTAGCACTGGGCAAGTTGGGCAGGAGGACCACCATGAGTTCAAGGCCAGCCTGAGCTACACAGTGACACTCTGTCCCAGAAAGACAAATCTCGCACAGAGTCCCAGAGAGAACAGAGTCCATGTGGGCGCCGAGTGTTTATGTTGGGTGTTAGGGGTCTGACTTGGAACTAGAAATAATTTTCATTTTACTTTGTTCTGGGGCGGGGGGGGGGGTGTGCAGACTGACTGAGCAAATCACCTCCTAGGGGCATCCCGCTTTCTTCTTCTTTTTGGTACCGGGGATCGAACTTGGGTCCTTAGGCTTGCGCAGCAGGCGGCGAAACCATTGAGCTAAATCCCCGGCCCAAATCCCGCTTTTTTCAAAAGGAGCTGGGCTCCGGCTAATTTAGGGGGCGGGGCGAGGGCGGGAGGGGTGGAGTCACCTTCCCTGGGGCAGCCAGGGGGCGGGGCCCCTCTTCACGGAGGGGCGTGGCCTTGCGGGCGGGGGCGGGGTCTTTCTCCCGGGGGCGGGGCGGCCTCCGGAGTTCCCGGCCGGCGGGGAGCCGGGAAAAGTGCTTCCTGGTCTGGGCCCGAGCGAGTCTCCATCGCAGTCCCAGCCGGGCGCTCCCTCCCCGCCCGGCCCGGGTCCGCCATGGCCAAGGCCTACGACCACCTCTTCAAGCTACTGCTGATCGGGGACTCAGGGGTGGGCAAGACGTGTCTGATCATTCGCTTTGCGGAGGACAACTTCAACAGCACGTACATCTCCACCATCGGTGAGCCCGCCGGCCAATCCCGCTCCTCGCAGCCCGTGCCCTCGTGCTCGGCTGCTGGGTCTCTAGGGACCCTATGCACCCTAGACGCCAGTCTCGCCCCGTCCAGGCCCAGCCTCACCCGTGCCCCTGGACGGGGCCCACACCTCTAGCCTCCTTCCAGGCCCACAGGTAACTTCAGTGGCTGCCAGCCCTGTCTCCTTGGTGCCACCTTCCTGCCCTGCCCAAGTCCAAGTGAGCACTGTTTGTCCTCCCCCTCCTCCCCACCGGCCACCTGGAACTCCATCCACTCTCCATAAGTCCTGTGTCTCCGACTGAGCCCCTCCCCTTCTGACCTCTTCCTGTCCCACTGTGTCCACTTCACCACCTGCTGCCCAGTCTCCTTCCCTGACGTACTGGGGACCAGAGGGTGGCACCCGGTCCCGGAGGCCAGTGATCCTGAATATGCCATTGCCTGGTGAGGAAGGTGGGAACCAGGGGACTTCTGGGGTCTCTGAGTCAGGCTGGTGACTCAGCCTTCTCCCTGTGGCCGCAGAAGCTAGAGGGAGGGAAGACTGGGAAGGGGCTGGCGTTTCACCCCCCTCAGCTTGCTTTAGTCTTCTGTGTGCCGGGAAATGAGAGAGCCTCAGGACGGACAGTTCTGATTACAAAGAAGAGTCTCCCTAACAGTCTCAGACTCTCAGAGCCAAGCCTGGCCCAACATTAACTCACAGACTTCGCTGCCAGGAGGATGCTGAAATACCAACATTAGAGGGCCGGAAGGAAATGGAAGGAAAAAGGAATGTGGAAGCAGTATTCAGGAAGAGTCGGAAATGTAGGAGCTGTCAGCTGACCTGGCCTTAAGGCCTCTGCAGAACTTCTATCACCTTCCTCTAAAACCCCACGAAACCCCAAGTAATAACACTATACTTGCTATAAGAACAGCTTAGGGAAATCCGCCTGGTCCTACACGCCCTGTGAGGTTGTGCCCCAAATGGCTATGCTGCAGTTACTGCACTGCCTCTGCTCCATCCTGCCTCATGCCACACATTTACACACGCACACACACGCATGCACACATGCACAGGTGCATCTTGACTTCATTGCCCGTCTTCTGGCCCTAGGAATTGACTTCAAGATCCGCACTGTGGACATAGAGGGGAAGAAGATCAAACTGCAAGTCTGGTGAGTGAGACCCAGCACACCTGAGCACTCCTCATCCTCCCACAGCCTTTCTGCTTTGTTTCATTTCTCCCCCTTTCCTGGCTATTTCTTGCTCACTCAGCTGTCCTAACTCTTTTCCTGCCCTCCCAGCCATTTTCAGCCTATTTGTAACTCTTCTGTCCCCTGGGTCTAGAGCATTCTGGGATCTGGAAAACAAAGGGATGTTGAGCTGTAATGTGGAAACAGCTTCTAGGTGGTTAACCGGCCAGTGTCGAAATCTAGCTCCAGGCCTCGTGCTGTCTCTAGAGGATGAAGAGCCCAGAGGGCCATGTACAGAGGCTGGACGACTGACCTTAACAGGGAAGCTGGAGACCAGATATGTTCAAGCCCTGTGACTCTCCTGTTAGCCGATGTGGTAGCACAGGCCTAGAATCCCAGCACTGGATCACCATAAGTTCGAGGCCAACCTGGGTTACATAGTGAGTTCAAGGCCAGTCTGAACTACAGAGAGATCCTATCTCAAAATTAATAAAATGACAAAAAGAGTAATTTTTTTGTGGGTGCAAATGCAAATATGTCTCACAAAGATAGAGTGAAGGTTAGATAAAATGAGTATACTTAGTGCTTGACACACGGTAAGCTTTCAGTGAATAAAAAAGTGATATCTTGTTTTCAGGCTGTCTCTATACAGGAGATTGAATGCAGGGCCTTTGTGCAATCCCAGCCCTTTTTCTTTTCTTTCTTTTTTTTTAGTACCGGGGATCGAACTCAGGATGTTGTGCTTGCGAGGCAGGTGGCAGAACCACTGAGCTAAATCCCTGGCCAATTCCCAGCCCTTTTTAATTTTAATTTTTATTTATTTTGAGACAGACTCTCAATATGTAGTTCAGGCTGGCCTTGAACTCACTATGTAGTCTGGGCTGGCCTCAAATTCACAACGATCCTCCTGCCTCTGCCTCCCAAGTGCTGGGGTTACAGGTGTGTGTCACCATGTCTGGCTACATTTGAAAATTTTGAGTCAGGGTCTTCCTAAATTGCCTAGACAGAGTTCAAATTTGTAATCTTTGGGGGCTGGAGATTTCCTCCTGCCTCAGCCTCTATAGTGCTGGGATTACAGATGTTTACTGCTGCACTTGGCAGTGGTGGCTCCCCCCCACCTCTTGCTGGGGATCACATCTGTGGCCTCACACGTGCTGGGCGAGTCCTCACGGCGGAACTGTACCTCCAGCCCTCTGCTGTTGGACAGCCTCCCTCTCACCCCTTGCCCTCTTTGCTTCTCCTGATCTGCTCCTTTCAGTGCCCTTGGGTTGTGGGAGCTGGATTCTTGGGGGTTCTCCCCTGGGAGACTACTTATTTCCCTCCTGCCCTGTGAACCTTCTCCTCCAGGGACACGGCTGGCCAGGAGCGGTTCAAGACCATCACCACTGCCTACTACCGCGGAGCCATGGTATGTGTGGCCTGGCGGCCGGGCAGGTGGCCTGCAGGAGTACTGAGGCTTAGAGGCAGGGTGCAGTGTGTGCGAAGGGCCCGGAGCTGTTCGTTCACTCGCTTGGTTCCAGTTTGTTTGTTTTTTCCAGTGCTGAGGGTGGAAGCCAGGCCCCACACACCCTAGGCCTCCGGCCTGCAGGCCCCATGCCCCGCTGGACCAGCCGGCGGAGTGGCCTGCGGGCCGAGGCTCCAGGTGAGCTCTGCTGTCCCCCAGGGCATCATCCTGGTGTACGACATCACGGACGAGAAGTCCTTTGAGAACATTCAGAACTGGATGAAAAGCATCAAGGAGGTAAGGCTGCCCGAGCTGGGGAGGAGCGGTCTGCCCTGACGGTGAGGGCACGGTCCAGCTCTCTGCTCCCCCAGAACGCCTCGGCTGGGGTGGAGCGGCTCCTGCTGGGGAACAAGTGTGACATGGAGGCCAGGAGGAAGGTGCAATGGGAGCGGGCAGACCAGGTGAGGCAGGGCCTCGCAGGGGCGGGCCAAGGGGCAAGGGCGGCAGGTCCAACGCACTATCCGCCCCCAGCTGGCTCGCGAGCACGGGATCCGGTTCTTTGAGACAAGCGCCAAGTCCAGCGTGAATGTGGACGAGGTAAGGTCCCCCCCGGTGGTGCTGGGCTGTGGGCAGCAGGGACCCCCACCCTGCCCTGGCTGTCTCCCCTTCAGGCCTTCAGCTCCCTGGCCCGGGACATCCTGCTCAAGTCGGGGGCCCGGAGGCTGGTGAGTAGGTGCGAGTGCCAGGTGGCGCGGGGACCCGGGAGAGCCCTGCCCGCCTCGCACCAACCGCCAGGCCTGGTCCCTGCAGGGAGATGGCAGCCGGGCCCCCAGTGCCGCCCTGCAGCCCTGCAACAAGCGGGCCACCAAGTGCTCCCTGGGCTGAGCGCCGAGGAGGCCTGGACCTGAGCCCAGGGTGAGCAGAGGAGAGGAGGAGAGAAGAGGCCGGGCAAGGGCGGGAGGGCCAGGCAGCCTGGGCCTTCAGGTTTATTCTGTTCCGCGCCAGCCTTGGGTCCTTCCAGAGGCTGCTCTGGAGACTTGTTCCTCCGCACAGTCCTGCTCAGTATTAAAGGCTGCTGTGCGCATCCACAGCCTCTGTCTGGTGACTGTCGGCTCGTAGGTTCTGCTCAGATGCCTCTCCACAGCTTGAGGCTGGCTGGCGCCCTGTCCCCTCCCCAGCTGTGCAGTGGGCAAGACAAGAAGGAAACCGGAGTGCAGGTGTGGCTTCCTTTCCACACTGGCTCTGTGGGATCCATCACTAGGCAGAGCCTGGGCATTTTTTTGTTTGGGATGAGGTCTTACTAAGTTGCCCAGGCCGACCTCCAGCTCAGGGTGATCGGGCTGGGATCACAGGCACCCAGCTTATCTGCTTTCATGGGGGAGGCAAATGAGACACAGGAAAGGTTCATTTATTCATGAATACTTATAAAGCAGCTGCTGTGTGTCAGGTATAGTATAGTTCATGCAGCCTTTGGTTGGTACTTCAACCAGAGGAAGAAGCAAAAAAAAATTTTTTTTGAGAGGAGTTCAGGCTGGTCTGGAACTCACTATGTAGCCCAGGCTGGCCTCAGACTTGCTGAAGTCCTCCGGCCACAGCCTCCCAAGTGCTGGGATTACAGGTGTGCACAACCACTCCCAGCTATATTTTTCAAACAACAAAATTATCTCACAAATTTGATCTTGTCTTAGGACCAATGGAAGTCTCAGATTTGGTTTAGACAAAATGTTCTGTTAGAAGTTTTACTCCTGGAGGCTGGGATGTCGCTCAGCATTAGCCTATGCAGGGCCCTGGGTTGGTCCAAAGCAATGAGAGATTGATTTATTGTGAGCAGTTGGAACACATACGGATCTCATCTCTACTTTTTTTTTTTTTTTTGGTACCAGGGATCAAACTCAGGTCCTTGCAGGCAGCGCAGGCAGCAGAACCACTGAGCTAAATCCCCCGGCCCACATACCTCATTTTAATCCTTTTCATTTCCCCTTTCCCTCCCTTCCCCCGCCTTCATCCCTAGATCCCCTTCCCATCTGCACAACCTTTACCTCCCTTTTTATATCTTTTATTTTGCTCTTTACATTACTTATACTTCAGGTTTCTCAGATAACAAAAACCGTAAGACATTTAACCCTCTCTGTTTGATTTATTTCACTTAGCATTATGGCTTCAAAGTGCATCCACACCTGTAATGCCAGCATTTCAGAGGCTGGGGCAGGAGGACCATTGTGAGTTCGAGGCCAGCCTGAACTATACAGTGAGACCCTGTCTCAAAAAACAAGGGCTGGGGATTTAGCTTAGTGGTGCTGTCACCTGCCTCACCAGCACAAGGTCTTGAGTTTGATCCCCCGTACCAGAAAAACAAAACAAAGTGCATCCATTTTCCAACAAATGACTCAGATTCATCCTTCTTGATGCCTAAGTAGTACTCTATTTTATATATATATGTGTGTGTGTGTGTGTATATATATTCTCTTCTGCTGACGCGTGCACACCCCATGATACATAAACACCACATGCTTGCTGGGCATGGTCGTCTGTGCCTGTAACCCCAACACTGGGAGCTGAGGTGAGAAGATTGGTCAGGGTTCAGGGGCAGCCTGGGCTACATAGTGAGTTCAAGGCCACCCTGAACTGCATACCAAGACCCTGCCTCAAAAAACCAGACCAAGCCAACAAAAAAGCATGATGGAAATTTGAGGTAAGAGGTGGGAGTGTAGCTCAGTAGTAGAGCACTTAACCTGCATAGGCAAGGCCCTAGGGTGATGGCAAGACACAGGGAACGGGGAGCATGGCGGAAGGCAACATTCCCGGGAACGAATAAAGTACTTTCATGCATATTTCATTTGCATCTCACAAAAAATAATAAACTGAAGGGCCAGGGGATTTAGCTTAGTGGTTCCGCCACCTGCCTCGCAAGTGCAAGGTCCCAAGTTTGATCACTGCTACCAGAAAAAAAAATAAATAAACAGAGGCCAGGGATTTAGCTCAGTTGTGGGGCACAACTGCCTCGCAACCGAAAGGTCCTGAGTTTGATCCCCTGTACTGAGGAAAAAAAAAAAAAACTAGCAGGGCATGGTGGCGCACATCTATAATCCCAGTACTTGGGAGGCGGAGGCAGGAGGAGCACCATGAGTTTGAGGCCAACCTAAGCTACATAGGGAGGCCTTGTCTCAAAAAAAAAAAAAAAAAAAAAGCAGTGGCAGTTTATTTGAAAAAATAAAAGTGAAGAGTGAGGGAGAAATTGGCTCTGCAGACCAAGCTTGGACTGAGTCAAAAAGGAAAAAGCAAGATGAAAAGAATACCCTGGAGAAAGCAGGGCGGGCTTTATGAGGAATCCAAGATAGCAAGCTCTTTTTGGCGTTTGTGTCCTTATATGCTGTCCAAATCTGGAGGAAACCTGAGAGAACTTCTACATCTGGGTCCTGAGAGGTAGTGCTGGGATCCCAGGACTCAGGTTGAGGTCAGCACAGGGTATCCTACTGAGAACCTGCTGGAGTGCTCATGAGAAGCCCACATGCAGGTGCTTCAGGAACTGTTCTGCACTTGTCTTCCAGGATCTTGTAATTAGCAGGTCACTCCAGCCAGCTTTGCCACTCCCTAATCTACCTCAGTCTCATTGTGTAGTTCAGGCTGGTTTTAAACTATGTAGCCCAGGCTGTCCTCAAACAGCAATCCTCCTGCCTCAGCTTCCCAAGTGCTGGAATTAAACATATGCACCACCATGGCTGGTTTAAATGTATTTCTTTATCCATGTATCTGTTGATGGACATATAGGCTGCTTGCAAGATTTAGCTATTGTGAATCGTGCTGCTATATACATGGGTATGAATGCATCACTGTGATTTTTTTTAAAAACTTTTTTTGGGATGATACCTAGAAGGGGAATAGCTTTTCTGAGGAAGGCCCCCCAACCACTCAAGTAGTTGTTACTGGTTGATATGTTTTTGTTTTGGTGTTATGTTTTCTGTACCAGGGATCAAACTCAGGACCTTGCGCTTGCCGGGCAGGTGCGGCACCACTGAGCTAAATCCCCAGCCCTTTTTTGGGTGTTTGACAGGGTCTCACTTTGTAGCACAGCCTGGCCTTGAGCTCAATCTGTAGCCTAGGGTGGCCTTGAACTCATGGCCATCCTCCCACCTCAGCCTCCCAAGTGCTAGGCTTACAGGTGTGCACCACCACACCCAGCTTATTGGTTGATTTCTTTACAACAGCCATTCTTTGTGGAATGAGATGGAATCTTAGTGCTAATTTGCATTCCTTGAATGGCCAGCAATGTTGCACATTTTTCGTGTACTTATTTGCTGTCTTTACTTCTGAGAAGTGTTTACACGTTTTAGATGTTCATTTTTGTTGTTGTTGTTGTTTTGCTACCGGGGAATCCAGCTTGGGACCTTACCTATCGGAACCACTGAGCTAAATCCCGGTCCAAGATGTCCATGTTTTGATTGGGTTAATTTACGGGCAGTCTCAGCACTTCTTGAAACTCCGTATCTCTTTTCATTCCCTAGTGATTATTCCCTTTGTAGAAACAAAGGACAATTGAGAACATCTGAGGACATCTACGGGCTTAGTTCTGTGAAGCTGTCTAGCAATGAACAGAGGGAAAGTGACACAGTTCATCTGTGTAGGGCGGAGTGGGAGCACACAGGAGGAAGTGTCATTTTATCAGGGTGTCTAGGATATTCCCGCTTCCCTGAGGGGTCGAGAGTGCAGCTCCGTCTCCATCCGTGGGCCGCGAAGCCAGGCTCTTCATTGGGGGGGGGGGGGCGCGGGGATGCGGGAGGTGTCAGACGCTAGATCTCAACAGCGAGTCTTGAAACTACGGAAGGGCCAAAGTCCTGCCAAGGCAATGTACTGTTCTTTTTTTTTTTTCCGTCTTCCCGCTCACCTAGCCTAGAATTGGCAAACAGGCTACAGCCCAGGGAGCAGCGAAGGGACACGTCACACAAGCCCCAGCAGGCATCATTTCCTCGGTTCCAGCAAACACTACCCAGACCACAATGCCTCGGGGCTCCAAGCCAAAGGGTTTCATCTTGCTGCGCAAACGCAGTGGCCTCCAGTTCCCAGGGAGCCACGGGCGGGCGTCCGCCTCGGAAGACGACAAATTCCAGCGGCCACGCCCAGCGTCCTCCGCGGGCTAGATGGCCGCGCCGAGGTGAGCAGGGCCCAGGCCCGACGCCCGGCCGAAGCACCTCGCGTCCCTCGCCAGCAAAAGCAGGTGAGCTTCGCTCGCGGCGGCCATGGGGTCGTCCTGATAGAGCCTGTGCCCTGATACTCCCGAGTTTTGCCGCTCTGGGCTGGAGCGAGAGGAAGCGCCGTAGAGCAGGTCCTTCTGTTCCGGCAGGCGCGACCCTGACCGCTCCATGCTTGCGAGCACGGGGAGGCCGGGCCTCGCCCAGGGCCGTCATCTCTGCTGGTTGCTGTGCGCTGTCGCCCTAAAGCTCTGGTAAGAAGGGAAAGGGGCGCGCACCCGGTCGTGCTGCCCCGGGGACGGGGGACGAAGGTGGGGGCGTCCTGCTCTCTGGACTCTAACTTCCGCCCCACTCACTGCAGCCGAGCAGAGGCTCCCGTTCGGGAGGAGAAGCTGTCGGGTGAGTGACTTTTCTAGGAACCGGACACCTCCAAAATTTTCTGTATTTAACTTTCCTCCTACACCTAGAGCGTAAGTGAGAGAGGGCGGCACCGCATGGGGCGAGGGCGCGCTGCGTCGGGCAAGTGGCTGGGTCTTGTTGGCAGTGTTCTCTAAACGGGCCGGGGGCGGGGCTGGCATTTTTCTCTTTTAGTGAGCACCTCTACTTTGCCGTGCTGGCTGGTGGAAGAGTTCGTGGTGGCAGAAGAGTGCACTCCGTGTTCTACTTTCCAGGCTGTAAGTGTCTGCTTTCTCCCTTTTACCCGCATCTAACTATTCCCCAGGTGTCATTAAACGTGCCCTTGTGTTGGCTTTTCTTGTCTTTGCAGTATCAGTGGATGCCCACATATGAACTTGTCTCCCCCCACCCAAAATATGCACCATTTTTTCCATGTTCTGTTCATTCTCGATAAGTGGGCTGTGGAATTTATCCTTACCTCTCCTAATCTCTTGCCCTTTCTTTCCAACACACATGCCTAATCAGACAACCACCACCTCCCCTGTTCATATCAGAACTCTATTATCTCTGACTATCCCAGTTGGGTACCTGCCGCTTCTGAACAGCAGCCCCCTCTGCTCCTGCTGGCTCTTCCTAACACATGCTTTGGTCCTTTTCTGCCGATAGAAAACCATCTCTGAGTGTGGTTCCACAGGATACATAGAGAAAATCACATGCAGTGCATCTAAGAGGAATGAGTTCAAAAGGTAAGGATTGTCAGGGCCAGGGATTTAGCTCAGTGGTGCCACCCACCTGCCTGGCAAGCGTAAGGTCTGGACTTCAATCCCCAGTACCAAAAAAAAAAGTTTCTCTTCTTTGGAGCTATTTCCTTTGATCCTGTGACTTAAACAGTTGCACGTCTTCATCCTGATCTAAGGGTGGCATGCTGTGTATTGGAAAAAGGAAGGGTTTTTTTGAGACAGGTATTGCTATAAAGTTAAAGCTGGACTCAAATTTAAGGCAATCCTCTTGCCTCAGCCTCCCAAGTGCTAAGATTACAGGGGTGTGCCTCCACACCCAGTGAATGAGGGCTTTTGGAGCCAAATTACTTAAATCCAAGTCCTAGCTGTACTCCTTAGCATAGTCATTGGCCACATTTTCTCATCGATAAAATTGATTAATGTTGGCTCACCAGGAGTGTACAAACGAGAGGGCTGACTTCTCTTTTCCTTTGGGATATTACCTTCATTAGGCTGAAGTAGAAGGGAAATTAGAAGAAGCTGTCTTGTCTTCCCTGGGAATAACTGTTTCTCTCTTCCCTCAGCTGCCGCTCAGCTCTGATGGAACAACACTTATTCTGGAAATTTGAAGGGGCTGTGGTGGGTGTGGCCTTGATCTTCGCTTGCCTTGTTGTCATTCGTCAGCGACAACTGGACAGAAAGGCTCTGGAAAAGGTCCGGAAACAAATTGAATCCATTTAACTGCACCACCCTTTATCCTGGGTCTTACAGACCATGTCTCAGCAGGAAAAGTGAGATGGACTACTTTGTACCCTTGTTTCTTTGGAGTCTGTGGTGACTCACACTTTCCCCATCTTCCTCTTCAGATCACTCATGAGCACAATAAAAAAAAAGTAATCTGCTTGGAACAGGAAGTCTTGGGAACAGAGAGGAAAAGGGGTGACAATCTACCGAGTACCTGTCTTCTCCCTCTTTTACTACTTAAGACTTCTGGGGTGCAAATTTGGCTAGAAAGTTTATTTTGCACTCAAAACTTCTATTTCCCTCAACCCTATGCCCCCCCAAAATAATAAAATCACAGATACATAAAGTGTTGAGATGCCCTCTCCCGTGGGAAGTCTGGGCTTCAGGATGTGGACATTTGCTAGGGCAGTGGTGGTGAACCCATGGCAGGCATGCAGCAGCAGCTGTCTGTTATCACTGAAAGCTCTACCGGGTTCGCCCTCCCTGTCCTAGGGTGTTCTGAAGTGATTTGGATCCCTAAGGGAAGAGACACGTGGGAATTCCAGGTGGAAGCAGAGCCTGAGGGCTGCCCTGGACTCCTACTTCGAGGGTGCAGTGGGCCAGGAAGGGCTCTGCCCCAGCTCACATCTCATCTGCATGCAGCACGGTTCTGAGGCGCCCACTGGGTCCAGTCTTCAGGCCCATCTTCTCTGGTGGTACCCCTGAGCCGTTCGCCCTCTGGGCTCCAGGGGACTCCCCCACTTTGGACTCTGTCCCTTGAGCCTCTAGAGTTCCTGACATGTCCTTGTGGGTCAAGATATTTCTGGAAATCACTGAGGGGAAGGAAAAAGAACAGCAGTAGAGTACTCCCTTGGCCAGGGACCCCACACAGGACAGGACCTCGCTCATTTTTTTTCCCCTTTCCTGGTATTTTCCCCCTCTTCCTGAGATAGTCTTGCTACATACACTGCCTATGCTGATCTCGAACTCCAGGGATCAAATCATCCTCCTGACCTGAGCATACCACCACACCCGGCCTCCCCTGCTTGCTCTGTGCAGTCTTCCTTCCTCAGCAGTGGAGCCCCCTGGCCCTTGCTTCTCACCGGCCTCCCCTGCTTGCTCTGTGCAGTCTCTCTTCCTCAGCAGTGGAGCCCCCTGGCCCTTGCTTCTCACCTCCATGGGGCTGGTATTCCTCAGGCCCAGCCTCTGGTAGACCCTGAAAGGGGCTGAAGCTGGGCAAAATGATGAGAGCCAGAGAAAAGAGAAGGATCTAGAAGGAACCAAAAGGACACTTACGCTGTGGGGACAACAAAGGAAGGGAGCAGAGGGAGTTGTTAGGAAAATAAATAGGGGCGGGTGGGGGATCAGGACGGAGACTGGAAGTGGGAAACAGGCTGTGGTACCAGAACACCGGTGCTGGTCTGGGCAGCTTTGTTGGAGGTCTGAGCAGTGAGCATCTGCAGCTGGCGGAGCTGAGCCACCAGGGAGCTGGAACAGAGTGAAGAGGTGGTACATCAGGGATGCTGTCCAGGCCCCTGCTGTGCTCCCTGCCCAGGCCCCTACTGCTGCTCACGTGTTGTGCCTCTCCAGCTCCTGGACTTTTCTCTGCAGTTCCTGGTTCTGTGCAGAACAGGCTGCCACCCTAAGGAAGGCAGAAAAGTAGGACAGGCTCGGCAATCTCAGTCCTTACCTTCCCTCCCTGGGTGAGGAGGGCCTGGACCCTGCCCGAGGGACGCTGGAAATGGAGCCAAGTACCTGCTCTCCAGCCCATCAATGTATTCTTTCTTCCGCCGCCGACTGTCTTGAGCGGACTGTTTATTCCGGATTTTCCTTCTGACCTTTTTGAGGACCCTCTCCTCTGCCTGGAGGACCAGGGTGTGTCAGCCCTGTACCCTCCCAGTTTCCCACCTCTTCTCTGGCTCCTGAGGAGCCATGGTTGCAACCCAAGGCTGAGACAGCCTTTAGGGAGGAGTGTTACCTTGGTGAGGGGCAGGTGAGTGGGCAGAGAAACCCCTTCCTGCCCCAGCAGTCGCTTTTCCTCGTCTGTCAGGAGCAGTGTTTGGCAGGGCAGCTGCAAGGTGGGGCAGGGAAAGATGAGAGGCAAGTGGGAAGCAAGTTATCTGCATCCACCCGCCCAGGGCCTCTTGAGAGCTTCCTGTCTGCCAGGGAATAGCAGCAAGCTAAACGTGAGGTGAGCAGGAGGTGGCTCTGCCTCAGCGTCACACTGGGGGCCCTCCTGAGGCCGAGAAGGCAGAGCGCTGGCATTCTGTGTCTTCCGCCTGCAGCCTTAGGGCCTTCATATTCTGAGCAGGCTGGGGAGGGTCTGTTTGGTCCCTGTCTCCCAGGCCCTTGAAGGCATTTGAAAGGACTTTACAGTGGCTAAGTGATCTGCCATTCACTCCCACTTGGCAGAGATGCTACCCAGTGGCACATTCTCCCCAGGGTCTGAGTTGCACTTTTCAGGCTCTCCTGTCTTAGACAAGGACTCCCTGGGGCAGCCAGACCTCCTGGCTTCTCACAGCCAAGTAGGTGGGGAGAGGAGTAGTGTCTGTGATTAACCTGAGCCCACCTAATCTGATGTAATTTGATGGAATCATTTGTCTCCCTTTTAGAAACCTTTTGGGTTTTATTGGGGGGGGGGGTATTTTGTTTTGCAGTACTGGGAAATTGAACCCAAAGCTTCATATATGCTATGTAGGTGCTCCATCGCTGAGCTACATCCCCAGTCCTACTTATTTATTTAGGTACCAGGGATCAAATTCAGGTCCTTGTGCTTGCAGGGCAGACGGGAGCACCACTGAGCTAAATCCCTGGCTCCCTATTTTTTTATTTTTGAGACCAAGTCTAGATATGCAGTTCAGGCTGCCCTCGAATTCACAGTGATGCTCCTTCCTCAGCTTGCCAAGTGCTGGGATCACAGGCATGCACCACCATGGCCGGCTTTGGAGTCCTTTTTATTTTTATTTTGAGATGGCCTCCTAAATTGCCCAAGCTGGCCTGGAAATTGCAGTCCTCCTGCTTCAGTCTCCAAGCCACCAGGCCCATCTCCTTTTTCTGGGGGGGGACGACCAGAGATCGAACTCGGGACCTTGTGCTTGGGAGGCAGGAGGCAGAACCACTGAGCTAAATCCCCGGCAGACTCCTTTTTGATTTATGCTTCACTTTGTGCCCAGCTTGGGCAACTTAGTGTCTTATCCTGGGAAGGAAGGAAGGATGGAAGGAAGGGAGGGAGGGGAAAGAGAAAGCAAAAAAGAAAGAGAAAGAAAGAACTGGAGATACAGCTCAGTGTTAAGGCCCTGGGTATTGTTTTTTTGGCTTTTGCTTTTTTTTTTGGTACCAGGGATTGAACTCAGGACCTTCCCGCTTGGGAGGCAGGTGGCAGCACCACTGAGCTAAATGCCCAGCCCTATTTTGGTTTCTGATGGCCTTTGGCATTTGGCTAAACCACTTCCTGTTGTTTCCTTCTTGTTCCTCCAACTGCTTGGTGGAACTATTCTGGGATGTTTCTTCCAGTCTAATCAAAATGTCTGCAAATAGGGCCCAGAGATTTTTATCTACAACAAACATGCACAAATGTCCTGGTATTCTGATGCCCACCTCAGGTTTTCTTGGGGTTTTTTTGTCTTTTGAGATAAGGACTCTTGAGTAGTTCAGACTGGCCTTGAACTCACTATGTAGCCCATTCTGGCCTCAGACTCCCTGCAATCCTCCTGCCTCAGCTTCCCAAGTTCTGGATCACAGGTGTGAGCCACCATACCCAGCCAAGCCATCAGTTTTTCACATTCCTTCTTCGTGAGGTTCTAATTCTGAGGTGCTTGGGTGGGCTTCTCGTCCCAGCTTCAGCCACATATTTAAGGGACGCTAGGGCCCATTCTTTGCCTTTTGGGTGCAGGGGACTTCCCAGGGTGAAGGCTGAGGAGCAACAGCAGCAAAGCCCCCATCTACGCACAGCCCTGGGAGCCAGGATAGGGGAGCTGCTGCGGCCTCGCCAGCTCCTCTGCGATTGGCAGGTGGACACAGCTGCAGCTCCTGTCCTCCCACCCTGGGCCCGCTCTCCAGCTGGACTCGCAGGCGTCCCGTCGTGTCCCGTCGTGTCCCGGCCCGGCCCGGCCCGGCCCGGCCCAGCCCCTTTCCTGACCGAGCTGAGAGGGTGGCTCTGGCGGGCACACCGTGAGCACAGGTCTGACCGTCTTTGCAGCCCTACCCCAGGGTTCTCCTCAGCACTTTCCCACTCATCTCACCCTGCTGTTCAGGCCACAAAGAGTGGCGGAGACACAGTTCCACGTCAGTTCCCTTCCTCCCCAGTCCCCGGGTGCAGATCCGCATCGCTTCTGACTGAGGCCCAGACTCACCAGGGTGGCTGGAGGCACCGAGGCCGGGTCAGTGGGCAGGATGTGGGCGTGGGTGTCGCAGGCCAGCTCGTGGATCACACGGGCATCAGGGACCACCAACTGTGGGCCCCACTGACCTGGAGGAGGCGAGGGGGCTGGAGGCCGGGGGGGGGGAGAGGCCACCTTACGGCGCAGGGTCCAGGGAGGCCCCTCACCCTCTGCCCTCCCCACCCCATGGAGCACTGACCTAGCTGGATGGAGAGGAGCCCTAAGCTTGGCCCGGCTTCCCCCTGCGCCCGCTGAAGAGGCCCTGCTTCATAGACAACCTCGCAGAAGGCAGGAGAGCTGGGTGCCGGAGCGGCAGGGGGGCTGTCTGAGCGCCCAGGGGCCTCCGAAATGCCACTGTCGCTGCCAGGGGATGCCTCGGAGCAGTACACTTCATTGGGGTTGATGAGAAGCTTCAGGAAGTCCTCAGACTCGCTGTCTTCAAGGCCCTGTCGTGGGGAGGGTACAGGCATGGGCCAGGAAGGACTTCGGGAGCCAGGCTGACCTGACTGGGCCCCTCCGGCACAGCTAACCTACAGCCCGCTCACGCCTAGTCTGGGACCTTCTCGTCGGAGGGGTTTCACCTCTTTGCGGCCACCCACCACGCTCGGACAGCCGTGGCCCCCACTGGGCTCCCAGCCTCGCCGCCCCTGTTCTCGGGGCCTGGTCCCCGGAGCCAGGGGATGGGAGCGGGTGAATCCGAGCTCCAGGAAGGACCCCGCGGAGAAGGTATCTTCTGGGGGCGCCAGGAACACGTCCAGCAGGTCGGAGGGCTCGAGATCCATGCTTCTGCAGGAAGGCGTGCGGGCAGTCGCGAAGGGAGGAGACGGCTCCTCCTTCCACACCGGCCGGGCCTTCTGGCCAAGGGGCTCGCTCGCAGGCCCGGCCGCAGATCAACCTGCCCGGGACGCCGCGCACAGCCCGCTTCCGCCAGGATCTGCATCCTGGTCCTGCCCGGCTACGCCCCGCCCCGCGCCCCGCACCTGCGAGGCCGGCTGCACCTGGCCAGACCTACGGCAGGGGCGCAGAGCCTGGAAGCCGGGCACCGGGACGCCGAGCTGCATTCAGGGAAAATGGGCCCCCACGGCCTCACGGCCTCAGTTTCTCCTGGCGATAGGGCTTCCTGAGGGCTCGGTGTCTCCTCAGGGAAGCCCAGGGTGGCCGTGACTGGAGCACTGGGGCGTGAGAGCGCTGGACTCCTGCCAGCTCTTCCGGCCGGGACCGCCACGGCCAGGACAAAGGCCCGGGCGCCTGGGCCTCCCCGCCCCCGCGCTTGGCGCTCTTCCCACGCGTGAGTCCCGATTGGAAGCCACAGACTGGGGTTCCGAGGAGCAGGCGAGGGAACCAATGAACCACCCGCTCGAGTCCAACTCCTTTGTAATTGGTCAGAATAGGCTGCGGGAGGGGCGTGTAGCCAATGGGGTCGCAGTATTTTTTTTGTCAGGCGGTGATTGGGTTGCGTGGGACTGAAATAGCGGTTAGCCGCCTAACAATGGACTGGAAGGAAGTTAGACAAAAGTTTTGGAGGTGTGGGCAGCGCTTGTTGGGTTCGCTTGCTACGCGACGTCGAAGCCCTCGGTCCGGTCTAGGGGGGAGTAAACAACCTTGACCCACGTGAAGCGCCAGGGCTTTGACTCAGAAGGCTGAAGGTTGCGCAAGAGCGAGTTTCCAGTCCGCGGCCCGCGCGTTCTGCCGCGCGTACGAGGTGCTGGGGGGCCCTGTCTGTCACTGACCGAGGGCCAGGGTCTCAAAACGGCGAGTGCCTAAACCTTTAGCGTTATGTGTGGGAATTTATATTTTGAGGCAGGGTCTTACTATGTATTTCAGGCTGGCCTTGAACTCACAGTGCTCCTCTTGCCTCAGCCTCCCGCATACTGGGATTACAGGTGTGCACCACCACGCCCGGTTTTGGATTTAATTTATTTTAAAATTTTTATTAGTGTATGTTTGCAGTGCATAGTGATTAGTCCATTATGCAGAGTTGGCACGTGTACATAACACATTTTAATTCTTTCCTCGTACCCTTCTCCTTCCCCCAGCGTTTTAAAACTGTTCGCCATAACCTCGTTCTCTCATTTAATCTGCAAGTGCTCTAAGGCACACGGAGCTGGTAATAGTTTCCCAGTTTTACCGAGGAGAGAGAGGAGTAGAAAGCAGCACATAACTAGAAAAGAGTATCCATGACTAGAATTTCAAAGCACAGCACTTTTCCCCCTTGATCTCCCGTCTGATAGTCTAGGAATTCACTTCTAGTAAAATAACGGAGGCATGGTTTGCACCCGCCTGCCCTCCAGAGTACTCCAGGTGAAAAAAGCAGCAAGGTTTAGGGTGTGGAACCAGAATTCAAGCTGCATCTGGGCGTGTGGTCCACACCTGTAACCCCAGCACTCAGGAGGCTGAGGCAGGAGGATCATGAGTTGGAGGCCAGCCTGGAGAACATCTCGAGTTCAGGGCCAGGCTGAACTACAAAGGGAGACCCTCCCTCAAAAAACAAAAACAAAAACAGGAACAACAAAAAACAAAAACAAAAACAGGAACAACAAAAAACAAAAACAGAAACAGCTGGGCACAAGGTCCTGAGTTCGATTCCCCAGTATGGGGGGTGGGAGACAAAAAACAAAAAACTTGTGAAAATGGTTTGTTACTCTCTTGATCCAGAAAACCCTACAAAATCATGCAAATCAAGAGGTTCAAGCCAGGCGTGGTGGCACATACCTGCAATCCAAGCACTAGGGAGGATAAGGCAGGAGGCTCAGTGTGAGTTTGAGGCCAGCCTGTGTTACACAGAGAAACCCTGTCTCCGGAAAACCAAAGGAAAAAAGAAGTTCAGATCTTCGAGTTCACTTTGAGAATGCTGGTGAAACTGCCCAGGGCATCAATGATATGTATATCTAAAAGGCCACCAAGTGTTTGAAGAATGTCCACTGTATTTACTTATTTATGTATTTATTTATTGCTTTTTGACACAGGGTCTTAGTATGTAGTGTAAGCTGGTCCTTTTTTTTTTTTTGGTACCGGAGATCAAACTCAGGACCTTGTGCTTTCGAGGCAGGCGCTGGAACCACTGAGCTAAATCCCCAGCCCTAGGCTGGTCTTGAATTTACTATGTTTTGGGTTCTTTTTTTTTTTGGAGGCAAGGTCTTGCTATCCAGTCCAAGCTGGTCTCAAACTCGAGGCATTTCTCCTACCTCAGCCTCCCAAATGCAGGCATTACAGGTTGTGTGCCACCATGCCTGGTGGGATGCCACTTTTAAGAAGCAAAATATGAAAAAAAAAAAAAAAAAAAAAAAAAGAAGAAGCAGCAAAATATGCCATTCTGGCATTCCATTGGCAGAGTTGGTAGGTGTTGTGGGACTGCATAACTCTGTAATCATAAAACTCCCCTAGCCCCAACTGTGATTGAATGTGAGTAAATAGATAAAGATGCTTGTTAGCTCCGGGACACTAGATAAGATCTGTATCAGCCATAAGGTCCCAAAGTATATTACTCAACTCTTTGTTCGAAAACTGATGTTCCGGACACTGCCGCTATCTATAGAACAATCTACAAACATCTGCTGACCATCAATACGTGTCAGCTGACCACTAACCTTTGTTCCTCTTCTGTAAATTTCACCTGTTAACTTCCCTGCAACCCCCTATAAAAGAGCCTCGGACTCTGGGCTAGTCGCCTCTCTAAGCTACTTTGCTTTGGGAGTGCCGTTTGGCCAGACTAAGGTCTGTTTTACTTTCCAACTTGTTCGGTGTGTTCCTTCCCGGGTGTTCTTCGCTGCAGTCAGCTCCTCGGAGCGTTTGGTAAGGCCCTCGGTCTTACATTTTGGAGGCACCGCTGGGATCCCCGGGTGTGCTTCACTGCAGTCAGCTCCTCGGAGCATTTGGTAAGGCCCTCGGTCTTACAGTGTGTCCTGGCCTAACAGTAAGGTTGTACACAGGGTTGGTGACCCAAAAGAGTGTTGAATTTTTTCGGCAGATGCTTAAAAGTGGAGAGAGTAATGCTGAACTCCTGGGTTTTGCTGTAGATTCTGTGGTCATTGAACACATCCAGGTGAGCCCAGCAACCAAGATGCATGGCCTCACACACACAGCTCCCTGCTCGGGAGCTCCCTTGCCACACTGGGATGATCCTGACTGAAAAGCAACAAACTGTCCCTAGATCAGAGGAGGAGAAGGGTACATAGAAGAAACAAATATCCCAGGAGAAACTGAAGAGACAAAAACTTAATAGCACAGGAATAAATTAAGCATAAAATAAATGCAAATAAATATTTAAAAACCAAAACAAAATTCAAACATATTAATTCTCTTTGTGAAGATTTAAATAGCCTAAAGGTAAAAGCAGGAAGAGCTCTAATGAGCAAGGCTAGCCTTGAACCCTTGGCAGTCCTCCTGCCTCAGCTTCCTGAGTGCTGGGATTACTGGTTAAGCAACAGGTATCTGTCACCTTTTTGGGGGGGGGGGTACTGGGGATCAAACTCACGAACTTGTGCTTGCAAGGCAGGCAGGGGGCCCACTGAGCTAAATCCCCGGCACTGTTACCTTTTTGTTGTTGTTTTGAGACCAGGTATGTAGCTCAGGTGGATTTTGAACTCACTATGTAGCCCAGATTGGCCTCACACTGGGGGTAATCCTCCTGCCTCAGCCTCCAAGTGCTGGGATTATAGGCATGTGCCTCCAAGCCCAGCTTTATCACTGTTATGGTTTGGGTCCAGATGTTCCCCCCAAAGCCTTATGGATTAATCTAGAGCGTGTGAAGCTGGAATTAATTCATGATGTAGTGCTAGGCTCAAGGGCACCAGGATTAAGGGTGTGAGTGCTACCTGCCCTGCCCTAAGTAGTCTGAATAAGATAAAAGGGGCAAAGAGATGCTGTTAACTCTCTTGTTGCTGTTGCTGCCTTGTGAGTACCATATTGTTTCTCCTCTGCAATGCCTGTTTGCAATCCCTGCCTTGGAGCCAGCTGGTTATGGACTGAAACCTCTACAAACTGTGGGCAAAATAAACCCCTTCCCCTTTAACTTTGTTTTGTTTTGTTTTTTTGATACCAGGGATGGAGCTCAGGTCCTTGTGCTTGCCAGGCAGGTGGCAGAACCACTGAGCTAAATCCCCAGCCCCTTCCCCTTTAACTTTTGGTGTCGGGTATTTTGTCTCAGCAACGAGAGAAAAGTAAGTAACACAGTCACTATTTTTATATTACTCATTTAAATCTTGTAGCAACTCACAGTAGCTGAACTAAAACTTGGTTGCCTGAGGTGTTCTTGTGTAGACCTTTCTGAGAGCAAGAAAGGTGGTGAGATGTATTTAAGGGGCTTTCTGTGGCCCCTTTTTGTATGGGCAGAAATGATTAAGTGGAAAGTACAGTCAGCTTCCCTTAGTGTTAGAACTGGGAAACTGCCATCATCTGGTAGTTTAACTCCTTCCTCTGAATTAACAAGCACCACAGAGGGAAAATAACTTGTTGGGAGTACCAGGGATTGAACCCAGGGCCTTTGCACTGAGCTACATTCCCAGCCCCTTTCCCCTCTTTTTTAGACAGGTCTGGCTAAATCACTAAACTGCCCAGGCTAGGCTCAAATTTGTGATCGCCCCTTAACCTCCCAAGCATTTTCAATTACAGGTGTGTGCCACCATATCCAATTTTTTCTTTCTTAAATAACTTGGGCCGGGGATTTAGCTCAGTGGTTTCGCCCCCTGCTGTGCAAGCGCACAAGGACCCAAGTTCGATCCCTGGTACCTAAAAAACCCCCAAATAACTGAGTTTAGCCAGGTGTGGTGTCATATGCCTGTAATTCCAGCACTGGGGAGGCTGAGGCAGGAGGATTGATTCAAGGCTATCCTGAACTACACAGCAAGACTGTCTCAGAAAGAAAGAGAGAAAGAGTTTGGAGCCTAGCGTGGGGTCACATGCCTGTAATCCCAGTACTAAGCACTATGGGAGGCTGAGGTAGGATAACCCTTGCCTCAAAAACCAGAAAAGTTTAGGGCTGGGGATTTAGCTCAGTGGTGCTGCCGCCTGGCTTGAAAGCAAAAGGTCCTGAGTTTGATCCCTGGTATCAAAACAAACAAAACCCAGAAAAGTTTAGAGCTGGGTGTGGTTGGTGCATGCCTGAATTCCCAGCACTTGGAGAGGCTGAGGCAGGAGGATCATCATGAGTTCGAGGGCAGCCTGAACTATACAGTGAGACCTTGTCTCAAAAAACCAAAAATAAAAAATAAAAAAAGTTTAGAACAGCAATTAATAGTAAATGATGGCCCATTTCATGTATATCCTGCTCTGACCTGTACATTCTTCCTCCCAAATCTCCTTGCTCTTAAAGTCTGTGCATTCTCCCCTTCGCTTAGAGAAGCTGCCGGCCTCCATTTCTAGTTTCAAGAGCCTTATCTGAGGCATTACTGTCTTTTGGGGGGGGGGGGGGACAGGGTCTCGTTAGTAGTCCAGGCTGGCCTCGAACTTACAGCCATCCCCTCGAGCGCCGGGACTACTCGGCTCGGCTCTTTCTTGATGAGCAGGGGGCGCGCCGGGTCTTGGCGTCGTCGGAGGGTGGGGAGGTTAGGCCAGGAGGGGACATGGAGGGACACCGGGGTGGCCAACGTGCGGACTTCCTGCTCCCACAACCGCCCGGCGGAAGGCTCTGTCGCCGGGGGACCCGGCCGCAGCCCTCAGTCTCTGCCCTCGGGTGGCCCCAGACTGCACCCCACTCCGCTGCCGCCTGCCTCGTCCTCTCCGCCTCCGACCTCTGGTCGCGGGCCAAGTCACTCCCCGCCGGGATCCGCCCACCCGGCGCGCCATTGGCTGCGGCCTGGGTCGCGGCAGCCGGGGGAGGGGCCGGGGGGCGGGAATTCCCGACGGAGCCGGAACCGAGCAGAGGCCCGGAACCGAGCAGAGGCCCGGAACCGAGCAGAGGGCCCGAGCGGCCCCGCGCGAGGTGAGTGGAGCTCCCGAGAGCGGGCCTCGCAGCCGCGCCCGCGTCCGCGTCCTCCGTCCTCGTCTCCACGCTGGTCACCTCCGACCCCGCAGCCCGGACTTGCAGACCCCTCCGGGTGTCGTCCCGCCCAGCCCCGCGGCCGATCCTTCCGGCAGTCCGGCCTGACCCGAGGAGCTGGCGTGCTCCTCGCTTTCCGGGGGCCGGCGTGGCGTGAGGGGCAGGGAGAGGCCCGGCACCCGCGCTCGGCCTGCTGCCAGCCCGATGCTGCTCGCCGAAGCCGCCCACTTGCGCCCGGAGGAAGGGCCTGGCCCGGGCTGCCGGGCACTGCAGCTCCGGGTCCTGTCCCCCTCCCTGGCCGAGGCGAGGGCTGCGACGCCCACCCCCCGCCCGCCGCTCAGTTTCCACTTGGCTCCCTGAACAGGTCGCTTGGTAGAGCTAAAGTCTGAGGAGAAATTGAAATGTTCCTGGTACGGGAGCGGATGAGTCACCCCCGCGGGGAAGCCGGGGCGCGGCTGGGCCGAGGACCTGCGCTCTGCTGACCAGCCTTCCCCTTCCGGGGCCCCGTCTGCCTGCGTGACGCCCCCTTCCTAGGTCTGAGAGTCCCTGGAGCTGCCAGGGCCACCATGGGGGCCTGGGGGGAGCCTGAGCTCCTGGTGTGGCGGCCGGAAGCGGTGGCTTCGGAGCCTCCAGTAGCCGTGGGGCTGGAGGTGAAGCTGGGGGCCCTGGCGCTGCTGCTGGCCCTCACCTTGCTTTGTAGCCTGGTGCCCATCTGTGCGCTGCGGCGGCCTGGAGCTGGCCAGGAAGGCTCTGGTGAGCGCCATGCCCACCCCGGGGTGCTGGGGGAGGTGAGCTGAGCGGAGGAGAGGCCAGGAGCGGACCTGCTGGGGTCCATGTGCTCTGTGCCGCGTTCCTCCCCAGCTTTGCGTCGGAAAGCCCTGAGCCTCGTGAGCTGCTTTGCCGGAGGGGTCTTCTTGGCCACCTGTCTCCTGGACCTGTTGCCCGACTACCTTTCTGCCATAGATGAGGCCCTGGAGGCCCTGCACGTGACGGTGAGCTGCTCCCCGCTGGTGACCTGAGGGTGGGCTGGGCCTGTGGCAGTCCCTAACTGCAGATAGCCCTTGGGTATGATCCTGTTACTACCTGTAACCTTCAGTTACAGGCAGGAGTTTGGTTTTTTTGGTACTGGGGATCGAACTCAGGTCCTGAGCTTTCGAGGCAGGCACCGTGCCACTGAGCCAAACCCCGGCCCAAGCCAGAACTCTTTCTGCGTGTTCGTCCCCCTACACCAGTCTCTGTGTGACCTCTCCAAACCTCTTGGGACAGTGTGAGGACACCCACCAGGCCCGTGATCTCTCTGCGTTTCTCAGTTCCAGTCACCAGGACCTTACCAGTGCCCCAGGAATCATTCTCACTCCCTCAGCACTTGTTAAGGGCTGGAGATAAAGTCCACTGCAGGACTGGGAAGGGTAGGGGCAATTCCCAGGGGCCTGGTGATGACCAAAAAGGCTTTAGTCAGAGGGAGTGTTCAAGCCCCACAGGTAGGAAATCTCACTGAAGGGAAAAGTCAGCCTGGTGGATGGATAGCAGTGTAGGGAAGTCATCCCGAGCTTGAGCTTTTTCCCCCAAGACTGAGGAGGTAGCATGGGCTGTAATCCTCTGTGTCTGACTGAGTGGCCTGTCTCTGTGTGAACCTCCCGTGTCACTGTGGCTCTTTGTGAGCATTTGGGAAAATGGGCCCAGATGTGACCCTGTGTTTTCATACCTACATGTTAAATTTTACATCCATGTCTATCGGTGACTCTCACCTGGGATGCTTTTGCACCCAGGAAACATTTGATAACTTCTGGAAACATTTTTGGTTGTCCCAGCTGGGTTGGGGAAGGGGTGGTGTTGTAGTTTTTCCTGGCATTGGATGGGTAAAGGTCAGAGATGCTGCTCTGTAACCTACTGCAGCTCTCTGACAAGGAATTGTCTGGCCCAGAATGTTAACAGTGCCGATGTTGAGCAACAGCACTGTGTGACGCCATGATCTGCAATCGTGTGTCATTCTGTTCTCAAGTCACTTCGGTGCTGTGAGACTAGGAACTGGTGTGTGTGGCTTGTGTTTGTTTGTTTGTACCTGGGCCTCCATCAGGTCTTGTCCTGTCTCCAAACACTTTCCTGCCCCACTCTGCCCACAGCTCCAGTTCCCCTTGCAAGAGTTCATCCTGGCCATGGGCTTCTTCCTGGTCTTGGTGATGGAGCAGATCACACTGGCTTACAAGGAGCAGTCAGTGCCGCCACATCAAGAGGAATCGAGGGCCCTGCTGGGAACACTGAATGGTGGGCCGCAGCACTGGCATGACGGCCTGGGGGTCCCCCCTGCAAGAGGAGTTCCGGCAGCCCCTTCGGCCCTGCGTGCCTGTGTACTGGTCTTCTCCCTAGCCACGCACTCGGTGTTTGAGGGGCTGGCAGTGGGCCTGCAGCGAGACTGGGCTCGGGCCATGGAGCTGTGCCTGGCTTTGCTGCTCCACAAGAGTATCCTCGCTGTCAGCCTGTCCCTGAGGCTGCTGCAGAGCCACCTGCGGGTGCAGGTGGTGGCTGGCTGTGGAATCCTCTTCTCATGCATGACACCTCTGGGCATTGGACTGGGTGCTGCTCTGGCAGAATCAGCTGGGCCTCTGCACCAGTTGGCCCAGTCTGTACTGGAGGGCATGGCAGCTGGCACCTTTCTTTATATCACTTTCCTGGAAATCCTGCCTCAGGAGCTGGCTTCTTCTGAGCAGAGGATCCTCAAGGTCATTCTGCTCCTAGCAGGTTTTGCCCTGCTCACTGGCCTGCTCTTTGTCCAAATTTAGGAGGCTTCAATGTAGGGGTAAGGGAAGCTGCCTACCAGGTGCTTCTGGTCTTCATTCCCCAGTGTGTGGAGAACAGAAGGGAATGGGGAAGGGAGGTATGAGCTAAGAGTTCTCTGGGAAGTAGGAATGGAGCCTTTGGGGTTATATCTAATGAGGGAAGTGAGCAGAGAAGAGGCTGAGTCCCTGAAGACATGATCGGACCTTAGCAGTGAAGCAGACCCTGGCTCCCGGGCTCAGAGGTCACACACTAGTCATGGACAAACTGACACTGGGGAGGCCGGAGGTGGGTGGGCACCCAGCCACTGTGGGATAAAAACGTGGAGAGGCCAGGGTCCAGAGTCAGCTTCCTGTTGGTTCTAGCCCATTTTGGCACCCTGTGACTTGCAGTGGACCCTTCCTACTTTTCTAAGAATTGATTTTTTTTTTTTTGGTACTGGGGATTGAACTCAGGACTTGTGCTTGTGAGGCAGGCGCCAGAACCACTGAGCTACATCCCCAGCCCCTTCCTACTTTTCTTACGTCCTGCGCATCTCCCTTCTCTTCTCCCAGGGGCACTGATGTCAAATGGTCTCTCCCTGCCAATTATGATACCTTTTCTGGCCTCTAGCCCTGGTCACGCCTCTATTTTTAAAGTGCCAAACAAATCTTTTTCTCAAAGCACAGAGATGTGGCAGTGGGCCCTGCCCAGCACCTCAGTGCAGGGGACCTACTTGCTTTTTATTTTGGTTCTATGTTTGGGGTGGGGCAAAAATTTTGACTAGGCTGGTTTGAGGGGAGACCTGTGACCACCTACTGCTGCTGCACCCTAGGAATAGGGGAGGGACATGGACATGGTGTCCCATGCCTAGATAATAAATAGAGCTGCCAAACATTTTTATGCCCAGTGAGCCCAGGGGGAGGGAAATGTTCGCCCCCAGGGTTATTTTTGGGGAGGGAGGGCTGTGTATAGGCCATGTTCTCTAGAATCTATTTTACTAACTGACCTGTTTTGGGACATATTAGCAGAATAAAAGATGTTTCTATACATCTCTACGGTATCAGCTTCATTTGTCTTGGGACGGGTGGGCACGTGGTCAGCCCGAGAGGACTTGAGTCCCAGATACAGCTGTTTTAAGACCCTTAATTCCATTGTTCTCACTCGGCCCTGACTGCCCTTTCCTGGAGATGGCCAGAGTTTTCCTCCTCTGTCTTTTCCTTCTTCCCTGCCTGTCTCCACCCCTTCCTTTCCCTTTCTTGCCCTCTTCCTTTCCTAATCCCTTGCCCCTTCCCGTCCGTCCGTTTGGCGAGGACTTGGAACTACAACTCCCAGCCTGCTTCGCGTGGGAAGCGTCCTGGCTCGCCGAGCCCGCGGGGCTGCCGGGAAGTGGAGTCCACTTCCTCCCTGCGCTGCGTGCCCGCGGGCCTGAGGGGATCACGTAAACAAACTACGAGTCCCGGCAGGCCGCGCGCCGCGGGTCCGGGCTAGGCTGGGCCGAGCCGAGCCGCGGGGCTCGCGGAGGCGGCGGCGGCGGCTAAGGCTAGAGGAGCCGCTCCGGGGCCCGCGGCGGAGGCCGTGGCCTGTCCTGGGAAGGTGGCGGGCAGGGACGTGGGAGGAAGATGGCGACGTCCGGGGCGAACGGGCCCGGCTCTGCCGCGGCTTCATCTTCCAATCCGCGCAAGTTTAGCGAGAAGATCGCGTTGCAGAAGCAGCGACAGGCCGAGGAGACGGCGGCCTTCGAGGAGGTGATGATGGACATCGGCTCCACCCGGGTGAGGGGCCGCGCCGGGGAGCAGGGCGGGAGGCGGGGGCCGCGGGTGGAAGGCGGAACGGACAGGGCCGATGGGCACCGCTGTCCGGGAGGCGCAGGTTGAGCGCCGGGGCAGAAAGGCGGAATTTGCCGGGGAGACCGAAACTCGGGAGAGATTGGGCTTGGGGGCCGAGAGGAGAATGGCCGAAGCCTGGCGGAGGTGGGTGGTCCCTGTGCATCCCTGGCGGAGTCCCCTGGAGGACTGACTGAGCAGTCCAGATCTCGGGTGGTGGGCTAGGGAGGATGGCTTGCTTGTCCCTAACCTGGCTTCTTTGAATTTGTGATCTTCTCCAAACTGCTTTCTCTGCCCCAGCGGGCCACTCTGCGCTTTGGTGCCTACGGGAAAGGGCCCCTTGAGTGGTTTGAAGGAGCAGTGCTGGGTATAGCGGGTCAGGAAGTCCCCTCCTGCGTCCCGTCCCTGTGCTTCCTTTTTCAAATACTGTTGTGGTTTCCTGACGTGAAGGTGAGGTCCTTTGCTCACAGACTGGCACTTGGTGTTTAGCCCTGGCCGCCCTGAAGGAAAGGTAGAGCTTTGAATCCTAAGTGGGTAACCAGTGTGCTACAGGTTGTTTGGAACCCTACATATACGTTTGCTGAGCCTTCTGGAGAGATGGATGCTTTGTTTGTAGATTTCTGGAGTATCTGGAGAGTCCTTTATTTGTCGGGGATATTTATTCCTAGGAAGTTTGATAAAGAACTTTCAGGCCTCTGCCAAGCTGCCTCTGAATCCGCTCTAGCCTTGATTTCTTGCATCCCAGAATTGGATATCAGAGGGAGCCAGGGCAGAAGTTTGCACAGTTAGTAGGCAGTCCTAATTTAGGGACACATTATTCTCACAACAGCAGGTGAGGATATTGCAGTGATTCCTATGGCAAAGAGTTGGGAGGAATTCAAGAGGAGAAGGTGGAACATAAATACATTTCAAGGTTCTTTCTTTCTGTTTTTTTGGTACTGGGATCGAGCTCAGGACCTTGTGCTTGCCAGGCAGGCAGCTGAACCACTGAGCTAAACCCCCGGTCTATTTTGAGGCTCTTTCTGCTGGCCTGACTGACTGCATCTTGGTACGACTCTGTGTCTTTGTATCCATCTCCCTTGACTCTGTTAGTCTTTTGTATTTTCCTCCTTGGAGTCTCTAGGGACCATGTGCCCTAGTTTGTGGGAGTCAGAACAGAAAAAGATACGTGGAAAGGCAGATTTGGTTTGTGTGTGTGTGTGCATGTCCATGTGCGTGTGCATGTGCGTTCACACACATTCTCATCACCATGAGGATTGAGATCTGTTGACTGCTCCTTTTAGGAGCTTTTGATTGTGGTGGGAACAGACAAGATGGAAGAGAGGCCAATCTCCAGCTGACAGTTTGAGGGCCTGCCCTCCGGATTGTGATTTAGCAGAGGCACAGTGTGATCCTACAGCTAGAATGTGCAAACCCACAAAGGTTGCTAGAAACTCAAAGCTGGTACCTCTCCTCCTGGTAGCCTTTACTGCTCTTCTACTAGTTAACTTCTCTATGACACAGAAGAGCCTAGTGGACAGGCTTGGCTAGGTCTTGGGACTCCAAGAACCTTAGCTGGAGATAGAAGACCTGGAGCCCAGCCTGTTGCATGGCCAGCTGGGATGGATCATGTGAGGCAGATATGGCCTCAGGGGCCTGTACCACTGGATGGTTGGGGTTGCCTTATGTATAGTATTAACAGTAGTCGTGGAGTGGCCCAGAGGCTGCTGAACTCGCTGAGCTGACCTGCTGGGATAGAAGGGTGTGTCTGGTGCTGGCTTCTGTGCAACATTGTGACCTTGGAACTCAGAACGTACCCCTCCTCAGCTGCCCTCATCACCATGGCCTTGCCTGGGGTCTGTTTCTTTGGCTCGTGATAGTGGCTCAGTCTTGGAAGAAGCTACTCACCTGTCATGAGGGCACAAGAACTGCAGACAGACTACCCTCTGTCAGGCTGAGGGGTTGGTGTCTCACCTCTTCACTGGACATACCTCCCACCAACGGAGATGAGGCCAGGGGTGGCTCTGGCCCAGCCTGGGGTGGGCTTTTGTACCCTCTCCACCCCCATTCTCCAGGCTTCTCTGCCTACTTAAGGGCTTTAGTCCTGGAGAAAATGCCCCTTGGTTTTGGCGCCACTTTCCTAGTTGGGAGAGCTGTCATCTTTTGGATCTTCTGGTTTGAGAGGTGCAGGGTTTGGTAGCCTTCCCGAGCCTGGGCAAGTGGCAGAACCAGAACCCTACGCTGTCCATCCAGAGTGGGAAGGGGAGAGGCTGGCAGTGATGGAGGTCTTCTCATTGGTGCTGGGCACATTCAAAACCGGAAGCAGAGCTGCCCAGGGCACCCATCCCTGTGGCCAGCCTCTGGTGCCCCCCAGGGACAGCTTCGACTGATGCTGTTGGGACAGGCCCTGAGCAGTGCTAGGCCCCACCCGCCAGGCTGCTGTCAGGCGGTAGTGCGCTCAGGGATGCAGGGAGCCTGCTGAGGGGCCGGGATGGGTGGTTTGCACCAAGTCTTGGTGGATCCTTATTCCAGCCCCGGCTTTTTTTTTGTCAGATATAGTGGACCCTTGACTTATGAACTCTATCCATTCCTGAGAGGTCGTTGTAACTCAAGTTGGTTATAAGTCAATATAGCTGACATCTGGATGTTTACCTGGGTATACCTGTAGATAACAAGAGGCAAATGAAGGACTGGGGATTTAGCTCAGTGGACCTGCACCTGCCTTACAAGCACAAGGTCCTGAGTTTATCCTCAGGACCAAAAAATTAAATAAAGAAAAATAAAATAAAAAGGCAAATGAGGCCCGGGGATTTAGCTCAGTGGTTCCAGCACCTGCTTCGTAAGCACAAGGTCCTGAGGTCAATCCCTGGTACCAAAAAATAAAATAAAATAAAATAAAATAAAATGGCAAATGAATTTTCCATTAACCTAATTAACACAAGTTATTTGTATGTCAGGCCAGTCGTAATGTGAGGGTCCACTGTACCTTAAAAGCAGTAGCAGTGTATCCTGCTGCAGGAATGGCAAAGATGGCCAAAGGAATGGCACTCAGAACCCTCCCTGATATTCTCATTTGTCCTTGCGTCTCAGTTACAGGCCCAAAAGCTGCGGCTGGCCTACACACGGAGCTCCCACTACGGTGGTTCTCTGCCCAACGTTAACCAGATTGGCTGTGGGCTGGCCGAGTTGCAGGTGAGTGTGCAGGGCTGGGGTGGGCAGAGGCTCGCCGGCTCCCTGCTGACTCACCTGCCACTTTGGCAGAGCCCCCTGCACTCGCCTTTGGACTCGTCCCGGAGCACTCGGCACCACGGGCTGGTGGAGCGGGTACAGAGAGACCCCCGCAGGATGGTGTCCCCGCTGCGCCGGTACCCCCGCCACATATCCTTCCCAGAGGCTGGGGGGCTTGGGCGGGCAGGGCTCTGGGACGCAGCCACCTGCTCCACCCTTCCCGCGCTTGCCTGCACCCAGCTCCTTGGAGAGCGACCACCCCGAGTGCCCAGGCAGCTCACTGCTCTGCAGGGGCAGGCAGGCTCCCCAGTCCTCTCCTCTCCTGCTGACTGAAGTGTGGTCCCTTCTCATTCACACATCTGTTGCTAGCGTTCTTTCTTTCTTTTTTTTTACTTCTTTCTCTCTCTTTTTTTTCCCTTTAGTATTGAGCATTGAGCCCAGGGCCTTTGCATTGAGCTACATCCGCAGGCCCTTTTTTTATTTTTTTATTTTGGTACCAGGGATGGAACTCGGGTCCTTGCGCTTGCGCAGCAGGCAGCGAAACCACTGGGCTAAATCCCCGGCCCTGCAGGCCCTTTTTAAATTTTTAATTTATTTTTATTATTTTTTTGGTACCAGAGATCGAACTTGGGACCTTGTGCTTTCGAGGCAGGTGCCAGAACCACTGGGGTAAATCCCCAGCCCTGTTTGTAATTTTGAAACAGTTTCACTAAATTGCCCAGGCCAGGTTTGAACCTTGGCTCCTTCTGCGTCAACCTCCCAAAGTAGTAGGGTTATAAGCATGGGCCACCCTACCTGGGTTCTTATCAGCATTCGATCTCAGAAATTTACACACTTGTGTCACCTAAGCCCTGCCCAGTCTCACAGATTGCTCCAGGCCTGATTCCATTCATTTATTCACTTATTTATTTACTTACTTAGAGACAGAGTAGTCCAGGCAGGCCTCAAACTCTTGGTATTCCTCCTGTCTCAGCCTCCCAAGTACTGAGATTACAGGCGTGAGCCACCATGCCCTGCCCAT